AGAATCATTGCTGCCTTTCTTTGATTTCAGCGCACGGCGTCTTATCACTTACGCAATGAACCCTTCACACTTCACACTCTGTTAATCTCAGTCATCTTCAGAATTAGCCTTCCCTTTTTTCCTTGTGAATAAAACAAATAAATTATTTATTCTCATCTTAAATTTCGTGAATCATCCGCAATACTATGTGACAATTATTGAATGCTGCATTTCTTTGAGCAGGAACCAAAAAAAAAAAAAACAATACTCCATACACAGTAATTAAGTCTCACGAAAAAGATTTTTTAATGTGGTAAATTAATATTTGAATCTCATTAAAAGATGTTTTTATATTTAGTACTTTAATCATCCCTCAAACAATACTGCCTTTAATAAAAAAAATAATATTCTTTTTGTTTAAAAATATAAAATATTTTTTGAGAAATTAAATGTTTAAAAATATAAAATATTTTTAATCTTTTAAGGTGTCATCATTGTTTTTTTTTAAAAAACCCAATGGTAATTTTATATTTATTATATGATAGTTACTATGGGTAAATATGAAAAGATAAAGTTAGTTAAAAAGTAAGCAACTATTTTATTTAATGTGAGACTTGATTAAAAATATTTTATATTTTTTAAAAAAAGTATTAGTAATTGTTAAAAGAAAGAAATACTCCCGTGCAAGAAACATCTGCATATCCAAGTTTTTTTAAACAATCATTGTTTTTCTAGCTATTAAAGCTCCTTCTATAACTCGGCCAAAATAATAATAATAATAATAAAGATGTCACTTTCGTGCACAGACTTCAGTGGGGAAGTTACTGTTCACCGTTTACCTAAAATAGCTGGTGAGGTGAGAGTAAACAACAACCAGGGCAAGAGTTTAGCTGAAGAAAATTATTCGCTTTGTTTATAAAATTTTAATTCAATTATCATTTTAAATTTTAACTTATTACAACTTAATTTTTATATTTTTTATTTAATTATAACTTAATTTTTAAATGGTTTGATGTAATTTAATTTTTATATTTATATTTTAAAAATAAAATTATAAAAATTAAAATTATTTTAAAATTTAAAAACTAACGTTTTAAAATTACTGAAAATTATAAAGGATGAATTAAAATTTCAGGAATTAAATTATATCATAAAAAAATTTAAAAATTAAATTATGATAAATTAAAGTTTTAAGAATTGAGTTGCATTTTAATTAAAATTACAGGAATTGGATTCAATAAGTTAAATTAAGTGACTGTATTAACATTGAGTCAAAATTGTGAAAATTAAGTGATTAATTTTTTCTTCCATTGACAGCGACAATAATTTTCCTAAGAAAGCGAAAATGAAAAGTTGTTTAAAAAACCAAAAAAGCGGGCCACCAGTGCGTCGGCGTGCTTGGTTTGACGTTGACGGGTAGCTGCCTAGCTACAAAATGAAATACGAAAGCTGATTATTCAAATAAATATGGAAAAGTCACGATCAAGGGCCCCAAGCATAATTAATAACACTGCATGATTAAATAATTTTAATATTATTCTGTAAGATCAAAATACTTACCTTTGTTATGAAAATACAAAAACACCAATCATTTATATATTATATGTTTTTAGCAATAACTCTCCACTAAAAAAAATATATTCATATTTTAATAAAAATTAATTCCCTTGTTAACAACTTAAAGGAATTAACTTAATGGTGGAGAGGAGTAAGTATTGTGATTTGGTGAATAAATTTTCATTAAAAAAGAAGTCTTATTTTTATTCTAACAACAATAAATTTTTTTATTAATAACTCTAAAAAATTAACTTAATAGTAAAGGAGAATAAGTATTGTGATCCAGTGAATAAGTTTGATTTATTAGATAAAAAATAAGTCATATTTTTATTCTAACAACAATCAATTCTTTCATCAACAACCACAAAATATAATTTGATGAATAAGTTTTCATTTAGGAAAAAACTAATCTCATTTTTATTTTAACAATAATTAATTCTCCTATCACAATAAAAATATATCAGGAATAGTTTTATATTTTTACAATAAATTTTAATTACATTTAAGTTATTAGATCCAGTGAAGTAATGTCATAATCATTTAACCCCAATCAATCATCTCTATGAGTCCTTGATTGTGATTTTCTCAATAAATATTCACATCCCCCCTCTCTCGACGAATATTCACATCCCCTCTTCAACTTCATCATACGTGGGATATAATAATATTATAATAATATATACTTTTTTTGTTTTAAAAATACAAGATATTTTTAAAGAGTTTAATATTTAAAAATATAAGATATTTTTAATCTTTTAAGATATAATTATTGCTTTTTTCAAAAAATACCCCCATTGATAATAATTTTATATTTATTATAGGATATTTAATAAAACAGATATAAAAAGATATGATTAATTTAAAAGTATGTAACTATTTTATTGTGAAATGAGATTTAATTAAAAATATTTTATATTTTTAAATAAAAAGAGTATTAATTTTTGTTTATGTGTAATATAATAGGACATACCCATATATTGTCCCTGTGATGTGCAATATTTTAATTTTAACACACAATATTTTGAATGATAGGAGATGAAAGAGGCTTGTACAGCGGAGTTGACTTCTCTCTTCTAAAAAAAGCCTCCTCTATTTTTCTTTTAAGGTAGAGGTAAATTTGAACGATTCAAATTTAATATTTCTATTTTTTATTTTTAAAATAAAATATATATAAAATTTTTTAAAATTTTTAATAAATATATTTATGAATTTGACAGTTAAGATTTAATATACATGCTCTAAATTTGATATTAAATTTTTTAATAAATTTATTATTCTGTTCAGAATATATTTAAACTGTTTAAAATATGTTTGAAAAATCAATTTAAAATTTTTATATTAAATTTAGAGCATATATATTAAATTTAAACTGTCAAATTCATAAATATATTTATTAAAATTTTTAATTTTTATATTTTTTAAATATAAATAAAAAATAAAAAATAAAAAAAATTAAATTTAAACTATTTAAATTAAATATAAATGATTCAAATTTACCTCAACTTTAAAAAAGAGATGAAGGCTTCTCTCCTCCCCCTACACCCTGCATGGCGTGTTAACAAAACCTAGTTTTATAATAATATTGGACGGGATTGGATTATATCTTATCGTGGATGACATGCAATTCAACATATGAACCGGAAAAATTAAAAATCCACGAGTTCTGGCACGTAGTACTATCTCACCACGTCTCAAAAGCAGTGAATTTAAATCAAAGTGACTGTGAAGGCTGAGTAATTTTTTTTAAACATAAGTGAATTTTTTATCCAATAAAGAGTGAAGGATTGAATAATTTACAAATAATTAATAATTACATATTAAAAATTAAAAATACTTTATATTTTTTAATATTTAATTTAAAAATATCTGATATTTTTAAACAGTTCTATTTATAAATTAAAAAGAAAATATTTTTTTATTCTCTTTATAAATTGTATAATTTATTTTGATCATGAACTTCTCTTTTTATCTCCACTAACTATCGGTGAAAAAAAATATATTAATAAAGCATGTATTCCTTTTAATTTTTATTATAAGATATTTTTAACTATTTTATTAGAATAAATGAGGGGTTATTAAGTTATTAACTTTATTTAAAAATATAATAAATTTTTAATTTACCTATATTTAAATAAAAAATTTTAAATTTATATTACATCTTCTCTGGTAATTAATAAATTTAAATAAAAATAATACTAAAAAATGCAATTAATATCCTCCAAGTGTCTCATGACAATGAATTTTTTTTAAATGACACCTATAATAAGGTCCACATAGTACATTAATAGAAATAAAATTGAAAACTTTGTTAAATTTTTAGATAAATTTAATCAATTTTATGCTATAAAATATGAATTTCAAAATTTTACTAATTATCATAAAATATGTTGAAAATAAATTATAAATAATATTCTCATTTTTAAAAATATAAGATATTTTTTAAAGAATTAGATATTAAAAAATATAAGTTATTTTATTTTTTTAATGTATAATTATTATTTTTTTATAAGTATCTTTATAAATTTTATTTTTTAAGGTGAAATATTTATTTATATAGAGGTAAATATTAAAAGATATAGTTATTTTTAAAATAAATTATTATTTTATTAATGAGTAAAATTTAATTAAAAATAGTACATGGACTGATAATATAAGCTGTGATTGTTCTGAACTGCTGATCATAAAATTTGTCAAGGCGGCACCGGAAATTAAGAAGGCAGATGAAGCCGGGCGGAACAAAAGTGCACAACCGACAAGACATCTCGGGCCAAAACCGACAAGACAGCAGAATTCAGAAGTCATTATTATTGGTTTTTGTTTTCCGTTATTATATTTTTCTAATCTTACAGTAATAATAACTCTTGTTTTTTTCTTATTAAGTTTCACCAAACACTATTATGGTCCCGGACTCCACGGAACGGCCCTACTCTCCTTCTCTCTCCCTCTCGGGCCTTGCCTCGGAATTTTTTTGTTTTTAAATTTAGCCACGTTGCCTCGGAAACTTTCCTGTAAGTAATTTCGACTTTTCTTTTCTGGCTAAAAAATGTGTGACACACACAAGGACAAAGACAAATACCTTCTTGAGTTCATTAATGGGAGAGCAAGAAAAAGCTTTTCCGACACCATGTGTATGAATTATGGAGCTACGAATGACTGTTCTCTCTACAGTCACGTATTATCGAGGTCCTCTCCTTTTTGAGTATGGTATTGAAAAGGAGAAACAAAAATTAAGCTGTGTTACGCTGTGTAGGTCCCCGGTACCACTAAAATTCAGATAGTTTATTTTGTTTTTTTTACTTTGTATTTTTCTTCTTCGGATTTAAGAACAGAAAACGATGCCGGAGCACGTTGGTGATGGTATTATTCTTCACGTCTTCACGGCGGGCCACCGCTAAAAGGTTTGGACTTTGGACTTGGTTGGTTTATATGCGAGCGTTGTTACTTGTCATAGCTTGCGTTTCGACCTTTTATACCTTTTGAAGTAATCAACGTCACGTTTTTTGTTTCAAAAGGAAAATTATTAGGACATAAAAGTCTTCTAATCAGTGGTGTCCACCGACTGAGATGGTTTAATTGATAATTAAACCGGCCAATCTCGATAACCATACAATCGGATAACAGTTTTGGACTATGCCATTCTTGGACTCTGTAAACCCAGCTAGACGCGTGCTTTTGTTGCTACTTGGGGGAAAAAAATACTCTTATCATCACAGAAACGAGAATCTGGTTGTGTTCTAGGCGAGTAAAAGGATCAAAGTTTTAGAGTCAGACAAGCGGTTTTTTTCTGGTTTTTATCCTCTTCATCTGGTCAAGTCGGCCAGAGCGCATGTTGGGCTTAAATATGAAATTTCGATCTTCATGATAAGTTGTGGCTGCTGGATTGGAAAAACCAGGAAATGGTCCCGGAGAACCTGAAGAAACAACTCGCCTTGGCTGTGAGAAGCATTCAGTGGAGCTACGCAATCTACTGGTCTGGTTCACCAAACAACCCCGGGTACATAAATTCGTCCATCTTTGACTCCTTTGAGGAATTTTATAGTTGAGATCTTGAGCTGTTCTTCTACTGGCGGCTTTATATTCCCGTTATTTCGTCTCTTATCTGTATTGCTCAAGCTAATGCGGCAATCTTCTCTCTGAATGCTGAACTGTTATGCTGTTCAATTTTCTGAAATTACTGCTTGTACGGTCGTTGGTTAGGAATCTTTATGCTGAGAAACATACTTTCTTTTGCATTGAGCGATGCAGCTTGTTCGAGTGGGGTGAAGGGTACTACAATGGGGACATAAAGACGAGGAAAACAAGCCAAGCAGGAGAACTTAATTCTGATCAAATAGGTTCACGGAGGAGTGAGCAGCTCAGAGATCTATATGAGTCCCTTGCAACTGCAGAATCCAGTCCACAAGCTAAAAGGTCTTCAGCTGCGCTATCCCCTGAGGATCTCACTGATACGGAATGGTATTACTTGGTGTGCATGTCGTTCGTATTCAACATGGGCCAAGGGTACAGTTTCTTACTTTAATTTCATTCAACTGGAGTCATTAATTTCCCTTTTGCTTAGAAAGAGGAGAATCATCATTTTGAGCGCATACAATCCTCATGTTTTGCTATGGATGTTTCCAGGTTGCCTGGAAGAACTCTGGCGAAAGGCCTACCCATTTGGCTGTACAATGCCCATTTGGCTGATAGCAGAATTTTTAGTCGCTCCCTTCTGGCAAAGGTTATTATTGCCTTGTTCTTCTGTTTTAATTACAATATGGTTTATTTTATGTACCCTTAAAAGGTTTTCAATGACATTCAGTCTGAAACATGTCTTCTTTTGTCTGGTTTCCATTTCATTACTGCACTTGTGGCGATTATCTCCTCTTATTATCAGAGTGCATCCATTCAGGTATCATTCTAATTTCCCTTTACCTATTCTCATATAAAAGCACCTAACTAGTCTTGCTTTTGGTAACATTTAGGTCGGTGCTGTTGAGAATAAGTCTTGCTTTTGAAAGTAATTGTAGTAATGTTCAGTATGGCACTTGCATAAGCATTGAAATAACACTGAAAAGAAGGGATTAATGAAAATAATTTTCTACTTAGTTGTGACAGCTCACTGGATGCAATAAGTTGAAGTATAGTTTCTGCAAACAAGGAACTGACACACCTCACCCAAGACCGTGAAAGCCTTGGAATATAAGTTGTTTCAAATTTAGTACTGGAAATCTAATAAAAACAATAATTTTTATCTAAATTTTTTTTCTGTGCATTACATGGAATTTAAGAAATAAGCCACATAGTCCACAACTTGTGAGTAGTGTAACTTTTCATAGATTTTATTATATATACATAGATATTGATATTAGTTCCTTATTGACACTCAGACAGTGGTGTGCTTTCCTTTTCTGGATGGTGTTCTTGAGCTAGGCACAACCGATCTGGTAAGCTTCCCCCCTCCATTTTAACCTATGTATCTCTCTGTTCATGTGATTTTCTAGCTGCCAGTGTCATAGATCATGTCACCTCTTTCTTTTGGTGAAGGTCTCAGAGGACCTCAGTCTCATTCAACGCATGAGAACTTCTTACTTGGATATTTTAGATGCCAAAGTTCGCAAGAACTCTGGAGTTGCATTCAACACTGGAGACGGTGAAGAAATTGTTGGTGCAGCATTTGATCATAATGCTTTTGACGTTAAATTGACTCCTGAATCAGAATATGACGTACCCAATGCAACTTCTCCCAATAATAGTTCAAATGGGTTTCAAGTCAATAAGCAAGCGGATGAGAGATTCATGGTTGAAAGGATAAATGGTGTTGCTTCCCATGTCCAAAGCTGGCAAGTGATGGAGGATGAGTTGAGTAATTGTGCCCATACTTCCATGAATACTAGTGACTGTATATCTCAAACTTTTGCTAGTTCTGAAAAGAATGCTTCTGTTCCCAAAGGCGATCGATGTGGGCAAGATCTTCAAGAGTGCAAAAACAAAAAAAAGACCGAAGTGGATGTTCATAGTGATGATTGGCATTACCAAAATGTTCTTTCTTCTCTTCTTAAAAGCTCAGACCAATTAATTATGGGATCACATTTTCAAAACTCTCATTGTGAATCCAACTTTGTCAGTTGGAGGAAAGAAGGATCAATGGTTGTTCAACGGCCAAGAGGGGGAACCCACCAAAGAATTTTGAAGAAGATATTGTTTGAAGTTCCTCGTATGCACACAGATTGGTTGCTTGAGTCTCAAGAAGAAAATGACTATAAAGAGGGAATGAGACCTGAAGCTGATGAAATTGGCTTGAGCCATGTACTGTCTGAAAGAAAGAGAAGGGCAAAACTGAATGAAAGGTTTTTAACCCTTAAATCAATGGTTCCTTTGATTACTAGGGTAAGATACATTCTATACTTCGTGATACATTCTATACTTCGTACTTGTTAACTTGACTGTCTCTGTTCCATTTAATTTTATTTTTAAGCATAACAATCCTGCAGGATGACAAAGTTTCGATACTAGATGAGGCAATTGAACACCTTAAAAAGCTGGAGAAAAAGGTGAGAGAGTTGGAAGCTCTCAAGGAGTCCAAAGATTCAGAGACTAGAACTAAAAGAGCACCTCAAGATGTGGTGGAAAGGACTTGCGATAATTACTGTAACAACAGAGCTGATAATGGCAAGAAGCCAGCGATGAACAAAAGGAAGGCTTGTGACGTTGATGAGACAGTGACAGAGATGGATTCAGTTCGTCTAAAAGATATTTCTAATAATGTTACTATCTGCATGAACGACAATGAGGTTTTGATTGAAATGAAGTGTCCTTGGAGGGAAGGAGTTCTGCTAGAGATAATGGAAGCCGTAAGCAATCTTCATTTAGATTTTCATTCGGTTCATTCATCAGAAGCCGATGGGACTCTTTATTTAACCATGAAATCCAAGGTAAGCCAGATAACAGCAGGATATGACCTGCTGATTTTATATGTTTCATGTTTACCCTCCTCCACGCATGAGCGTGAACACGCACGCCCTCAGGGTCTTTCCTGAAGCACGTTGATATTATTTATCTTAGTTTGAGCACCCTTTCATGTGCAGATCAGAGGAGCAGCTCTTTCCTCAACAAAAAAGATCAAACAAGCACTCCTTAAGGCAGCTTGGAAGTGTTGAATCTTTTATATTGGTCTTCTACACTCTGTAAATTTTAGACTGTTGGAGTCATGAGTTGATCTAGATTTTGCAGGAAATTTTCTAAGAGGGAAGCTTAGTTGTCATGGCAATACCCTGATGATGAAATATGGAGTTTTTCCCAAGAAATCAGAGATGGGAAGTGGAGCTTAGTTCACTATATTTTATGTAATATTAACTCCTATAGCCTAACTCAGCTTTGATCAATGACTTCGTGCTTGTAGGTAATCCTACATTGTTAATTATGCGTAGATTATTGAGTCTGCAAGTCCCCAAGGAAGGGGAAGAATTGAAGGTGAATGCTTATTGCATGCATGTGAGAAATTTACCATGGCACCGTTAAGATGATTTTCCTGGAGATTGTAATGAAGTAAACTGCAATATTTTTTTCCCTGATCAAATCTATAATTCTTTAATTCTCACTTATCATTTTGCTTTGGATGGATCTCTCCCCTATTTCTGGGTAAAGCCACACCTTTTTGGGAGCAAGATTCTGGTAAGGGAAAGAATTATGGAATAATTGAAGAAAGGAAGAGTGTGAAAGGCATTCAAGTGGATTCTAGATGTTACCTACCTCATGCTCTCTCCAATCAAATCATTTCCAGGAAGGACCCAATTTTTCTCCCGGGAAATCATCAGTGTGTGTAAGGAATCTACATAAGCTCGACGAGAAAAGCAGTAATCTCGGACTAAAAACAATTTTATTGAAAATAATCCCTCTTATTAAAATTGATTCGTTTATTCCTTCACGATTTTCTTGCTTTGGTCAATATATATGCGTTGAAACATACAATAATTGAGAGCAAGTACTGACAGCCGACTAGAAATTATGGAAACGGGAATTGCATGTCATTCAAGTAATGTTAATATTTGGGAAGATGACAATTAAGGATTTTTTAAAAACATTAATTTCAATTAAGGATTATAACATTTTGAAATCTCAATTACGATCATGGTCCTTCATTAGAATAAAAAAATATATTTTGTGAGGTGGGATTCATTCACTAACACAACTTGAGAAAATTGCTAACGTATATTGTAAAAATATAAAATTTCACTTAAGAATCGAATGTTTAACAAAAAGCATCATTTGAAAATTTATTAATCTGACTTGAAAATTTTTTTAATGTATATTGTGAAAATATAAAACTTCACTTGAGAATCTAATGTTTAACAAAAAGCATCACTTAAAAAATTACTAACCTGACTTCTATTGTGAAAAAATAAAATCTCATTTGAAAATTGATTGTTTAACAAAAAATGATTTGTCCAAATTGAAATTTTTTTAGTTAAACGATCAATTTTTAAGTGGAGATTTATGTTTTCACAACATACGTTGGAAATTTTTTTAAGTCGAGTTGGTGAATTTTTAAGTGGTTCTTTTTGTTAAACAATCAATTTTCAAATAAGGTTTCATGTTTTTACAATATATGTTAGCAATTTTCTCAAGTTGGGTTGGTAAATCTCTAAGTAATATTAATAAATCTCACTTCACAAACTACATTTTTTATCCTAATTAAGGGCGATGGTCCTTAACTAGAATTTCAAAATATTATGGTCTTTAATGAAGTTTAATGTTATTAGAGGGTCCTTAATTATTATTTTTCCTTAATATTTTGCTGATTTCTATTCAGAGCCACAAGGAAGAATATCATAGTATAAGAATATAATAAGAAAAATATAATTTTAAATCCTTACACTTGAATTTTATTATAGGTCACTACATTTTTTTTAGGTGTTTTAGGACACTAAAAAAAAGTACAACAACTTATAATAAAATTAAAATAAAGTACAGGGATCTGAAATCATATTCTTTTAATATACTATGAAGGACAAAAGTTTTTAAACACTTATGCACTATTTAAAAACTGAGTCGGCCATGGTTAGGAGCGAGGACTTCGTCTTTTTATTTTTGTGCCTTTTTTTTTTTCGGGAAAGGACTTGGTCTTTTCTTTTAGTTTGACTGGATTGCTTCCCCACCGCCCAAAAAGGAAAGTTCACTGCACAGCTTGGCTTTTTAGGGCCCCGGTTCAGCTTGGTTCTAGTCAAACTGAAGTAGAACTCAGCTGTACAGCAGTGCAACCAATGCTATTTAACCAACTTCTCAAGGGTGATTGTGTGTGTATATATATATATATATAAACTTCTCAGGGGTAATGCATGTAGTTAATCCCTGATCATCTTGCGTGTTGGCGCGAGTAAGAGATCTTGTGCTAAAAATTAGCTTGCACTTCGAAGGACTTGCTATCATTTTTCCTCCTAAATTTTGCTTTTACCATATGCTAAAGATCTGATGCGAACATCATCAAATCAGTCCCAAGATTCAGCAATGAGATCTGCATTCAAGATACGATATTTATTGCCCATTTTCTTTTCTTCGTTTTTTTGGGTCAAGGATGGTCCATAAATTGTTCAACGATTGAACGCATATTCAGTTTGAATCTGGATTATAAAAACCATTCAGTTTGACCCTATAACTTCGTAGCATGTACGCAACCACTGCCGTCGCGTGGCAACTATCCGTTGACTATTTGGAGAGTAGGCAAGGAAGCAAATATGGATTTACACCTATTCTAAAGTATTTAATTTTATTTTATTAAATAAAACTTCACTGACAAATGTCAGTGTAGGCCACACAAATGATAATTATTACAATCCCACCCAGTCACAATTTCCACGTTCTGCTCACTAACAAGAAATAGCGAAAACTTTTTCCTCACAAAACTACACAAACATAACCGAGGAATATGAACACCCAGAACTCCACAAATCAAAATGTGGGTTGTAAAATAATGATCCTCCTAAATCCAAATCCATTCATGTGAAAATATCAATTCCCATTGGTTGTAATCCTCTATTAATAATGCTATTACATCTAAAAAATCATGTCAGTCAATTCAAAATTTTCCAGCTCGGCTTGAATCACTTATCTTCCAAGCTGTAAACGGAGGGCAGGATAAATAGAATAGCGTCAGTCCCCTTCGGGAATATACAAATACAAGAAATTACCACTTTATGCTGAGAAGAAAGGGCAATGGGGGCATCATTCCCATTCAATAGTAGATGGAGGCTTTGACGTAATGTCTTGCACAACACGGTTTACACCACGGACATTGTTACAAATCTTCCTTGCAACATCATCGAGGAACTTGTGCTCAAAGTAATACCTGAAAAGTTTTTTTACCTTTAAGTAAAAAGATAACATGCGGATATACTTAAAATTCTGATAGGGTAGAACATGCATCACAAGTCACAAAATAAATGCCCTGGAAACTGAAATCTACTTTTCAGTATGGGGGCAATGCAACAAAAGATGAGCTAATAAATTAGTACAATGCTAATAGTATAATAAGAGACTAATGTGGCCATGGAACACCACATCCTCCGAACCATTCCCGAAAATCCCCTGTATGTTAAATACGGTACCAAGCACCTAAATTCTCCAGCAAGTTGGCTAAGAAGCAGGTCTGGATGTCTTTACACATTTCTACAGTATTGACAAATATAGATCCGATTCCTAGCAAATAATCATGCAGTTATAATACTGCTGCAAAACAAGATTTCCAGTCATAAATGGGGACAACCCTGCAACGTGCCTACATAACTTCATCTATTTCATTTAGTAGGTTTCCTAGCAGCAAATGGCTGGCAATTTAAACTCATTAGAGGTAAATATTATAAATATATATATTTATAATAATATATTTTGCAGCATCTCAACTCCGTATAATTTGACATGCCCAAGCTTCCTAAGATTACATTCTACAAATGGAGTACGAACTAGCTGCAATGAAGATTACAAGATATCTAACAAGCACGACCATGCACTCCTATTAAAACCTTACCAGTCTGCCGTCATTCCATCTTGACTCGTAACAGCTCTAAGAGCAACGACATGGGAATGTGTTCTTTGATCACCCTGAACTCCAACAGATCTGACTGGCAAGAAAACTGCAAACGCTTGCCAAATTGAATCATAAAGTCCAGCATCCTTGATTGATTGAATGAAAATCTCATCAACCTGGGGGGTGGGAATCTTCAGGGTCAAATCATAAAGGAGAATCAACATTGTGGACACATGAATACACAAACATCATGTACCTGACGGAGGATGTCCAAGGCATTGCCTTCAGTTACATCACCCAAGACTCGTACAGCAAGACCGGGTCCAGGGAATGGATGGCGTTTCAAAAATGCCTCGGGAACATCCAAGATTCTCCCTAATTGACGAACCTTAAAACATGAAAGGAAATTACCAAAATCAATGCATTATATACACATGCATGCAAATGGGAAATCATGTGCTCAGAATTTAAGCAATCAGAATGAGGGAACGGGTAAAGAATGAAACCTCATCCTTGAATAGAAGTTTGAGTGGTTCAATAAGCTTCAATTTCATGTCCTTGGGAAGCCCTCCAACATTATGATGACTCTTAATAGTATGGGAGTGATTTCTTCCGCTACCAGGTGGTGGACAAGATTCAATGACATCCGGATACAGAGTTCCTTGCACCAAGTAAGATGGTTTGCTTCCAAGTTTAAGCTCTAAATCTTGCGCAAAAGAATCGAATATACAGATAAACTCTTTTCCAATAATTTTCCTCTTCATCTCAGGATCTGTTACACCTTTCAAACTAGTAAGAAACTGATCTGCAGCATCAATGCATGTAACTGGCAAATGAAGGTCCTTTTCAAAAGTTTCCACCACTCGCTCTCTCTCTTTATACCTAAATGGAACATAAGTGAACATTGTGAGGAAAGCAACATAGATACCCATATCTAGAATTTATGCACTACAAATCAAGAACTTGGCTTATTGAGGAATAAGCTAATTTTCTCACCTAAGCAAACCATTGTCGACAAAGACACAATGAAGCCTGTCTCCAATTGCTTTATGGACAATAGTAGCAGCGACGGTGGAATCCACACCCCCTGACAACGCACAAATGACATGCTCTTGAGGCCCCACTTTATCTTTGATAACTTTTATTTCTTCATCCAACACATTTTCCATCTTCCAGCCCGCGGCAACTTTACAGACCTCAAATAGAAAGTACCGCAAAGTTTCCATTCCTTGAGGCGTATGCGTCACCTATAAATGAGACAAACAATATCAATAGCAATCTTACATTATGACCGCAGTGCGAACACAAGAAAATTGACAAAAGACAGCAGAACATTTAATTTCTGAAGATGCTGCAATTCATATTAATTGACATTTAAATTATTACTCCAGTGGTAAAACAAACATTTAAAATTTCACAAAACGATCAAATAACAGACATAAAGCACCCACTCACCTCAGGGTGATACTGGAGGCCGTAAAACTTCCTTGATGGGTTCTGTATGGCCGCTACAGACCCTTGCTCGCTCCTTGCCACCGCCTCAAACCCATCAGGCAACTTTGAAGCCTCGTCACCATGGCTCATCCAGACGAGCTGTTTAGACCCAACGTTGTTCGACCCGAAAAGCCCAGAAGGCTTCTCTACATGAATTTCCATCCTCCCATACTCTTGTTTAAACCCAATCTTCACCTCCCCGCCCAGCCTCTGCACTAATAACTGGAGTCCATAACAAATGCCAAGCACAAACACGCCATTTGACTCAGCCCATTCAATAAAACCATCAGGAAAACTTGGGGAGTCCGGGGTGTGGACGGAGTGGGGGCCCCCAGAAAGAATAACGACGCTAGGCTTGAGGTCGATTATGGATTTGAGAGGCGAAGTGCCGGAGATGCAGAGAGAGAAAACGGAGAGGCTTCGGATTCGGCGAGTGATGAGATGAGTATATTGGGAGCCATAGTCTAAAATCAAAACCAGGTCTGATTTCACCGCTTTGGGATCCATGGGGAGGCGCTGCTTGGTGGCGTGATGGGGTTTTGGCCACGTAGTAGGTTGAGAAGGCAAGGTATGCTAGAGCACTGAAACGCAACTCAACTATAAAGGCACAGGAATTAGGGTTTTAGGTTTGGCGGGAACGAAAACAAAGTACTACTGGGTCAGCGAAACCGAGGACAGCACAAAGCAAAGAATTATGAGGCATGAAATTGGCTCACTTTGTTTTCTGTTTTTTTTTTCTCTTAAATTTATATACAAGTTTTATATTTATAAATAAATTTTACAAATTCAGAAGTCATGATTAAATATTTTAAAATTTAAATATAATTTAAAATTATTAAATATATATTATTGTATTAATTAAATAATTAATAATTATTAATAAATAATTATAAATAATTAATATTAAATTTTACTAATAACATATAATTATTTAATTATTAAATATGTACAGTTATAATTATAAAAAGTTATAATTATAACTGTATATTGTTGATGAAGAAATTATAAATTAATTATTTAATTAATATAATATATGTTTAATAAAGATATTATTTTCTTTGTAATTTAATTTTAAATTATATTTAAATTTTAAAAAAATTAGTTGTGATTTAAATTTTGTGAGATTTATTGACAAAAAAATATGTTCCATTCCATTAGACTTTTACGTAATTTTTCCCCTTTTTTGGTCAGCAATGAAATTCGCTCCCTCTTGGCCTTGATAATAAAGTACAAATGAACGTGGGTACTGTGGACAATACATGCTTAATTATAAGGCATGAAATATGCTCACTTGATGCCTTGATAGAGTAAAGTATATTCCAAAGTTCTACTGTGTAAATCAATCTCCTATGATTATCCTCAATATACTTTCAAATTATAGTATAAATCTATTTGCTTAAGATTACAAAATATATAATTTTTATATAGTTTAAAAGTTTTATAAAATAATTTATTTTTAACAAATTTTATAAAAAGTAAATATTATTTTATGTTTAGTTATAATATTTTTTAAAAATATTTTCTCTCATATAATATATTATATTATTTTTTCAAAGTAATTTTTTTAAATAATTAAAAATGTATTTTTCATATTCCAATTATTTTTAAAATTTTTAAAAAAATATAATTAAAACTTATAAAATAATTCTTTTTCAAAAAATAAATATTTTTATATAAAATAAGTTATAACAAACTAATCCTTTATTTAATGTTTATTAGAATATGTGGTTTATTTTATTTTATTTTAAACCAAACACAATATTTAATAAAAAAATTAAATATATAAGATTGGACCCATTTTTTAAAATTTAAAAAATAATTTTTAAATAATGAAGGTATTTTATAAAGAGAGATTTATTTTATACAAATTTAAAAAGAAGCAAAAATTATTTTATATTTAGTTACAGCAATAAAAAATATTATTGATTAGTTATTTTTGAATTTTATAATTTCTATTTTAAAGATGTTTTATTATTTAATTATTTTAAAACTCTTGATATCTTTGTGCATTTCTATATTTTTTTGACATTCTTATTCTTCCATCACATCATGTCATTTTCGAAAACTACCTAGGTAGCTTCTCAAACTATTCACAATTTTTTTTATATTTTAATTATTTTTAAAAATTTAAACATACACCATAAAATCTCACGAAATCAACAACCAAACTATCAATCTAGATAAAAAAAAAATTCTTTTTCTTCTTTTCAAAGAATGGAAAGAAATCAAAAGGTTTACAAATGAAGAAATACTTAAATAAATCGGATGTATCATGTCATTTGTAGTCTATCCAATAAAAACATGACATTTAAATGGAATTAAATATAAATTAATTTTGATATAATGATAGTAAAGAGAGAAAAGGAAAAAATTAAATGTATATTCTGTTATAAAAATAAAATTAATTTAAAAAATATCACATAAAATTTTATTTAGATTATTTGAAACATTTTAATTGGATAGACCACAAAATGACGTGGTGCACCCAATCTATTTAAGTATTTTTCTTACAAATGAGAACAAAACAGGAGAAATACTTAAATGGATCAAGTGCACCACATTATCTAATTGTCTAGTAAAAACATGATATTTAGTTGACATTAAATATAAATTGATTATGATATTAATGATAGTGAAGAGAAAAAAGACATAAAAATCAAATATACATTTTGTTATAAAAATAAAATCAATTTAAAAAATATCACACATGATTTTATTTAAATTATTTATAACATTTTAATTGGACAACTACAAATGACGTGTGCACCTGTCAATCTAAGTATTTCTCGTGAAGTGGTTGGCCTTGCTGATGTCTGTACTCCACAAGTAAACTTGTAATCTTCCAAAGGCAATCAAGCAATCAAGCTTGTTTTGTTCTTCAAAACCAACTGACAAAAATTATGCTTAAGTAAATTTAGTGGCTCACAACATTTTGCGATTAACAAAGAAATGATGTCTGTAAACCCTTGTAAGCGGCGTAATAATCCCGCGACTGATGTAGGTTGCAGGCATTGGTTCATATTTGATATATCACAATGTATCACGCTTCTCTGGTATCCATCTCAGATATAATTTCCAATATTAGTGATTGGAGAACATCTTCCTGCACTTCTGTCGCAATATCATCAATATCAACCTGAACATTTAGCCATGATCGCCGTTTATTCAACTCCTTTTCGACAAGCTGTTCTAGCGTTCTTGGTGGTGGACGATGGTGCTGGTGATAATGCAAGTCAATGAATTTTTTAACCTCATGAACCATGATTCTCTTCAAGACATATGCTTGGACATTTGGTTTCTCGATCGAAATATGATGCGGAAATCTACACAAGTGCTGGTACCGCTCCATGAAGACTTCCATGACATAGTCAAACAAGATTGTAGTGTAAGAGAGTTGGTTCGTCAACCTTTTTAGTTCCTCAAAGGCGGAAGGATCCAGTAAATGATCTGGTAACTCACACTTCATCACCAGTTCATCCCATTTCAGGCTCAACGACCTCAAAATTTCCCCGTCGCAGCCTGACACTGACATGTCCCTTGATGTAATTAAATCATCCACAAGACCCGAAGAGGATCTTGTAAGATCAACAGAGTGGTGTTCTTTAGAATTACCATTTACTGTTTGAATTGGCAGCTCATCTGCATGAGTCCTGAAGTGTTAACTAACTTCACTGGACAAAGGAGAGACTAATAGATGAATTAAACCGCTCAAATGTCCCAAGATCTAATTGAAACCATACCAGGTTGGGAAGCTGCGGTTGGTGGATTGGTGATTTCCCCTCTCATAACTTGCTTAGTAGCAGATTTAGCACTGAGGCGCTCATCAATTATGTTTCTCATGTCCGTAGGATCATCTGCACTCTGACTAGATGAAGAGCTTGATGAAGCAACTTCTGGTGAGGAGCTCAGATCATCGACCACATTAGGTGAATCCTAGTCAGCCCCAATTTTTAATATTCCTATATTAGGGATCATAACAAAATAATAGGTATTACAAAAGGACTGTTAAAAAAAAAAAGGGTGTCTCTGTCATTTGAAGACAACAGTTCAATTACCATAAAAGGTCCATTTCCTTCACTTGTAATATCCACGTCAAAGCTCTGAGTGGGACTGTGCATATTTCTGCTACCTTGTTCAGAGGGCACATCCATATGTCTGATTCCTTTGGGATGTAAGTCACTACCAGATTTTATGAACTTCTCGAAACCTGCATAAGAATGGTTGGATCACGTAAATAAGGCAAATATTTGCCAATGCATGTGCTCAGAGAAGATTGGTAGAATATTATACAATACCTGTTGAAATCCCATAATATGCATAACTACTGTCAGGAGGACTCCTTTCGACAATTTCTTTGACACTATGCAAATCATTTTTAACTGTCTTCACAGCAGCCGCTGGTGGTTCATTGTTCTGCTCCTCAATTCTGCAATTTAATATCTCAGACAGATTTTCCGTAGACTCAACATGCATGTTCTGTTTATTTTGCAGTGAAGGGCTGACTGAAGTTCTTGTTATGTTCCTACCACAACTTTCATGAGCCGAAACAGCGTTCTGCCCTCTACATAACATAAAGTCTCTTATCTTCATTCTCTCTCTCTCCTTGAAGTCAAGTGATAACTTCCCCCCTTTTCCAAAACCAAAATGGACACTACTGACTGATTTCCTCCCAACACTCTCCAATCCCTGTGCTTTATCACCATCTTTAATTCCTTGGCAACTATAGGGAAGTTTACGCAACATTTTATCAGCAGTCTCCCACCACCGTCCTTTTTTCCTTAATCCCATGGCATGCCTTAAATTTCCCCTTGCATGGGAAAAAGGAAAATGTGAGTGCTTCACAGATGGCACATTATATGTCCCAGGAGAATGAAGAGGACAGTGACAGCCAGCGTCTGTAAAAAAAAGTTGCACTTTTGTTGGTCTACGCTTCAAAAACTGCTACTCATTTTTTGTGTGCCAAAAAAAGTACTACTATGTTTAAAGACTGAGGATCACAACAAATTATATCTATCAAAGTACTTACACGGAGTTTCACGTTGAGTTGCATAACTTCTTTGAGAGTTGATCCATTTGGACTCAAAGGGAAATCTGGTCAACATTTTTTGCCCTGCCTGATACTGTTCATTTACTGATTGAGAGTTTTCGTCTTGAATTTTTAGGAGGAGTTCCTTGTTTGGGTATAAAATCTGTAAAGCATCGAAGAATTGATGGGGTTGGGAGATTGCTCCATCTTTGCGTAGAGATTTCCAGTTGATGAAATTCTGAGTTACAACCTTGTTTGTTGCTTCATTTCCCTGAACTGTTGTTACCTGGTCAGTAACCTTCACACAGCTTATACTCTTACAACCATGATAACTCCTCTTGGAATTTACCTGTAGTCAGAGTTCTTTCGTTAAGCCTCTTAACTGAACTACCCAATATACTAAGAAGAGAAGAGTAGATGCGATGCAATTTACCAATCTCCATGATAAACAATTCAAATTAATCAACTAGATTGAAATTCATCTGAAGTGTCTTGACAAGAGAGATAAAAAATGAGTTAGGATTGGATTTCAATCACCTCAATTGCTCAATCGCTCAAATGAGGAAAGAAATAGAAATGGAATGAGATCTACACTAATTAGCGCCCCTATCTCATATATATCTCTATCTCTTTCTTCACTTCAAGTGATTGAAGAAATCCAAATTACTTAGGATCGAATTCTGACAATGGGTTCTACGAGGGTCAGTCTCACTTTTTCATCTTTTATCTCTTCACCTATAGTTCTTCACATTTCATTTTTCAGAGAACAACAGTAACAGGGGGTTATTCTGTATGCAGCATGATTCAGAGTTCACATAACTAGCAAAATATATTTGAGAGTTTTAATTCTTGACAATAGATGCATTACTGCAGCTAATTTAATTTAACTGGCGACAGCAGCATCATTGAGTCATGAGCTTTGGAGATTAATCCCAAAATATCAAACCTTGAAGTAACCAACTTTGACGAACTTACTTTAGCGTGATTGTGAGCGCACTTCTCGTCAACTATGGCTAGCACATCCGGGCTACTTCCTGAGTTTACATTATCTGCAGCTTGGGGGAAAAAAATCACGGGTCTTACGCTAGAGTTGAACATAATTGAAACATTGATCGTCGAGCTTCTTTAAATAACGGGGAAAAAAGCGCATAAGCGTTGCTGAAACTTCCATACTTCGTTCAACAGAGCCGACATTACTGTGGCAGAAAGGCAACTCAAATCTTTTTTGAGAAATAAAATCGAAGAACTCTTACCAATGGCATGTATATTCGAATGTCCCGTATTAGAAACCAATCTTCTCGTGGTTTGACCTTCTCGAAAATTCAAGATTCTGCACAGTCGTGAGCTGCAACCTGTCTCGCACACTTGGCTTACACCGGCTACCTTTGAAGACGATCGTCTCGCCATGATAAAAAGAGAAAAGCTAGTTTCCAGCTATATCGTCAATTTTAACTGAAAGGAAAAATGATGTTGTAGTCTGAAATATAAGAACCATCCATGCAAGCACAGATTGAAGAGTTCAGGCCCAGAAACTGAGAAATGTTGTGTACACAGAAGAATGATAACGATGTTAAGTTTCATATCTGACTAGAAGATGTAAAGATTCGCCGAGAAAAAATTTTGCTAAAAAAATGGGTAGAGATGGATGCCAAGTAAAAGCAAATCGCCATTTATATATTAAACTATTAAATATTAATCATAAGTAATAACCAAAAGAAGAAAGGAAGAAAATCCACCTGGGGGGGAAATGATAACACGTGAGAACCCAAATGAACTTTCCCAATTTCCGATGCGACTATAACGAGTTGGTGAGCCCCAGGAGGTGGGCCACACTCACAACGGCACGAGTCGCAAGACTCGCAACAAAATCAGCTCTAAAACCTGAAGACGATTCATTACCAAATAACTAACCAGCAACCATTACAGACGCAAACAACACTAACCTGCAAATCACACACCAGATTATCATCAGAGAGCTCATACTATATGATTTTATCCCAGAACTCTTCAGTGGGAACCGAATGCCACTAACGTGAGAAAAATGTTAAATCTACTAGGGCGTAGCAGACTTGTGAATTTTATTTCGTGAATGTGTTGGTTGGGAGTTGAATTCTTTAGACAGGATTCGAAGGGTTATCCAGGAAAAGTTATCTTCAACTACACACGCACATAAAAAATGATGAGATAAAGAAACACGGTACCTGATTTTAGCCAATGATTTGAGGTGCGATAGGGTAGAATTGGAGCGTTCTGCATGGACCCAAGTAATTAAGCAGCCAACATGAGCGTGTAGCTAAATCAAAGACGTTGAAGATATAAATGAAAAAATATACTCGTCCGATCTCATTTACAAGTCAGTTTTATCAACTTCATTAATATTAATATAATAAAAATATAAAAAATAAAAATAAATAAAATTACAAACGTGCCCTATATAATAAATTTAAAAAATAATGTCCTATTATCTTTTTTCTCTCCTGGAGGGTAATTTTAAAAATACTTTTTAAATATCAGAACGTATCATAATTTATAAATAAAATTAAATAAATCTTTTAAAATGAAATTTATAAATGAAATCGGAGGAGTACATAGGAAAGCCAGGAATAAAGCAATACAGGAACAAAAAAGGCAGACTAAATATTCCATGTGACAGCTGACAATGAAATATTTCATCCTCTTCCAGTACTGTCTCATCCTCACGAGTCAGCCTCACACTCCAGGTGCAGCTGTAATGTTCACGAAACGGCGCCGTTGGGCCTTCTGTATCTTCTCAGGGAATGGCTGCGTAATGGATTGGTCCAGCAAGTCATTTAGCGCGCAGCGGAAGATTTGTGTTCAACGTGTGGACAAATCATATGACGTCTGTTCCTTTCGACGCAATGACAATATATTCATGTTTCTGCCATCGTTGCTTGTCACTTTCGTCTTGTCCTTGACGTTTTTTAAAATGAGGTCATCGCACCTACACAAATCCTTATTTCGACCTTTGATACACAGAGAAATGTAAGAATTCTCTTTCCCGATTAACAAGTCAGAAAACGAAAGGTATTGAATTATCCTGTACAAGTGGTCTTTTAACCGCCCAATTCTTTTGTACTTTGGCGGGCGCTCACCATTGCACGTTGTGTTCAAACTTAAAGGCATGTCGTGGTCTTTTCCGAATCCAATTTACTTAATTTCTTTAAAAAAACATATAAACATACTTTGTTTTTTGGGGAAAGAATAATAGATCTATGAACGTAATTTGATCGTTAAGTGTACACTCACATAATTAAAAGCTTGACGGTGAACCTCGTATTATTATTTAGTTCACACGAATAACGTTGAGCGGTCCCCATTTCCCCCGTTAACTGTCCTCATTCTTCATTTAACGATAATCCTATGCCCATGTAGTAGTATAGATCAATAGGCTATATGTAATATGTATAGATGTTCTCAGATTCAAGCATAGCTTCCACCGTCGTCGTACTAAGTGCCGGCTCTTATTGTTGCTTAAAATTATCAAATGAGTTGGTTGTCTTTACTACAAGCTACTCCCTCTATTTCAAATTATAAAATAACACTAATAAAATTTTGTTGTTCCAAAATATAAGACTGTTTGATAAAAAAATATTTTATTAATGATATTTTTCTAATATTACTCGATAAGTAATTAAATAATTGTATATTTATATTTATATTTTGAAAGGTTATGATTTTTATTTTAAAAAAATAAGTTTAGCTTTATTAGTGTGTGTAATTTTATCTTAAGTTATTTTATAATTTAGCATGGAGAGAATATATTTTAAACACTACAGATAATCCATGTCATTATAAGTTAGTATATAGGTATTAATTAAGTTTTTTTAATGTTATTCTTGTTTAAAGTAATTTACTATGAAAAAACATAATGTAAACATGAAAATCCTATATTTAAAAACAGGTAATAATCAAAAATTTATTTTATTTTCACAAAAAATAATTTAACGACCTTTATTTAATTTCGATGGGTGGTTAGAAAGTACCAATATAATAAGATAATTCAAGTGGCGTTGTTTTAGCAGTGTTTTAAACCAAAAGGCCCAACAAGATGATAAACGTTCCGCTTTGTAGTAGTATCTGATTAATCGAAGTATTCGAATGGCATGGACTGGAACATGGTGGGGTTGGTGTGGAGAGAACGTTTTAACTTGGACAACGACATCCCCTTGTCTCTCGATCACTATGGTTTAATATTATTAAAATTCGATAGTAAGTGCTCGGTTCAACCTGTAAGAATTGCGCCAACTTAACAAGAAAAGAAATCTCAATAATTCAGCCCAAGATAAAACATAGAAAATTAAAACCTCAGAGAAGTTTATAAACAAAATGGAAAATTTGTCATATCCTTTTTTGGCCCCGAATTATTCCATTACTTATACAGTGGAGGATAATGACTATATCAGGGAGGGTTTGAACAAACCTTCTATATATATGTGTGTGTGTGTGTGTGTCACAAGATAATCTTAGAATCAACTTAAACTAAAACGCCCAATTGATAGTTTAAGGGGCATTGTTGGCGTCGTTGGTTATCAAATAGTTTAAGGTCAAAATATTTATACTGAAAAATGTTGGATTATATATAAGATTACTCTGATTTTTTTTTTAAAATTATTTCCACCGTCATTTCTATGTCTATTTTTGTTTTAACCTTTTTCTTTTGTTTTAAAACCATCTTTTATATGTCCAAGGCGGGGTTACTTTTTTTTTTCTTCCCAAGTATACCCTCGAATTTATTAGAAATTGAAGAAAATATTAAACAAAATAAGAGGTGATTAAACTGAGAGCATTTAGTTCATATACAATACTATATAATATTTTACCTTAATTAAAGATATCCTAATTTATATGAAATACATAACCTTGGTCCTTGAACAATGATACATGAAGTGTAGGGAGTAATCATTTTAACAAAAAAGTTTTAAGCCGAATATTTCACATCATACATACTAGTTTTGATGATCTTCAAATAATGTACCTAATGACTTATAATATTTTATTAAATTTATTAATATCTTCAATATAATTGAAAGTTATTCATTTAATTTTTTTAGCAAAAATATGTTTAAGTGAATGATTATATGTGAAAATGAGTGTGTAAATGTGATTAAAAGTTAGTGGATCAATTTTATCTTTAATTTTGGATTTTATGTATATAGAAAGGCCTAATTTATGGTCTCAAAGATGAAAATTTTGGAGTTCAAGTCAAAATAATTAAATTTAAAAAGAAAATACGAATAAGTCATGTTCAACAAAAATGCAATTTTAGTAAAACGATAATTTTGATATTTAATGAATTTTTTAAGGTCTGGATACCGCATTTTAGAGCATTCTTGATCTCCAATAGCTATAGAACATTCAAGGAGAACAAAAGGAGCCAAAAGAGGGTTGAAGAAGCTTAGGTTTAGTGAAAAATTAAAAATTTTGCTCAAAATTGTTTTAATTAAGCTTTTTTTTCTCTTTCTTCTTTTTATTTTATTGTATATATTACTGATTTTGCTATTATGAGAGTCATGTATGATTAATTTTCTCTTAATTTAGGGTAGCAATGAATTAATTTTTGGATTAAAGCATATTTGAACCATTTATTTGAGTTTAATATTAGTTTTATTTACTTAATATTATACTTATTTGTCTATTTAATCCTTGGCTACCATTGAGTGTGAATTTAGAGGTTTAAGTTTTGCCTTGGAAGAGAAGAATATGAATTAGATCATTATATTGAGTAATGTGGGATTATAATTTATTGCAATTTACTAACAAGATAGAAATATATCTATTGAACTCATATAATCACATTGAAATGAGTTTATGCTTTTTTGCCTCTTGAGTATTTTTGTTAGGAATAAGATACAAGAGAGAAGTGTAATTAATCGAAAGATAATTATTTTTATTGATACTCTATATTAACAAATTGATATTAAGTAAATTTATTTAAGTAATTACATACTTTATGAATTAAAAAAGAGATTAGTCACCCTAGATTGTCTTGATTAGTTGTGGTTTATTGAAACTTTTATTTTAGTGCATTCATATAATTTCAATTTCTTAATTCATGAAATCAAATTTAAATCTTACTTTGCTTGATTGAAATAAAAATAAAAAATGTATTACCTAATTATCAATTAACTTGATTCTTTGTGGGATTAACATTGATTTATCAGTTACTATTTTACGAATAGTACACTTATGGAATTCATTACATATTTGTGTGTATCAGTACCATAAACTGCTCTCTACATTTTTTTAAATCTATTTTAGCATATAAATTAAGAATTAAGAAATAAATTAATATGTCATAATTTCTTTCAATTATTTTAATATACTCTTATTTATTTTAGCTGTTTTGAACTTTTGAAGTTAAATTAAAAGGAGTCTACCTAGTGCTCTTAATACCTTGATGGAAATATTTTGTATGTTTGGTGGAACTTATTCTTTATATTTAAAAAAGACATAATTGTGTAGAGCTGGAAAAGTAATAATTAATAAATTCTTAAAATTTTAAATAACATGTAAATAAAAACAAAAATTTTCTTGAAAGAACTGCTATTAAAAAGCAATAGAATAAGACCAAACAAGTATTGAATAGTTTCTACAACATGACAAAATAAGTTTCAAATTTCTACTATGAGAAATGATTATATTTAATATCCAACGCTGACCCAAATATATTACTTTCAATAGAAACTTATACATAAAAAAAAATATCAAAACAAGTAAATTAGTACCATGGGAAATAAGTAATATTTCTTCTTTTTAAAAATATAAAGTATTTTTTAAAGAGTTATATATTTAAAAATATAAGATATTTTTAATCTTTTGAGGTGTAATCATTTTTTCAAAAGTGTCCCTCATTGATAATGACTTTATATTTATTGTAATGTGTTTATTTATCTTTTACCTCTCATTGATAATAACTTTATATTTATTATAGGGTGTTTAATAAAATAAATATAAAAAAATAATATTAATTTTAAAATAAATAACTATTTTATTAAGAGGTGATATTTAATTAAAAATATTTTATATTTTTTAGCAGAGCGAATAGTAATTTCTTCCTATCTTTAGAAATAAAAAGGAGTCAACCAGCTAAATTATTTGAAAGTGTAGCACGAACACTTCAACGAGAACACTTCGAGATGGAACGATGTGTTGTTGCACATGGACGTCGTGCCGTGGCCAGTTGCAACATGCATCATCTTCTCAGCCGTGGCCTGGTGGTATTTTTAATTTTTCTATCCCTGTCTTTTTGCATTTTATTATAATATTCTGCCACGTTCGATAGAACTAAGGAACCCACAGGAGCACATGAAAGGAGCCCACAGGAGCAAAAGTTAACGCAGTACTAACAAAAATAATATTGGCAATATAAAGACGAAGTTTTTCTGGATCGGATGCCATTACTCTCGCGCTCTGATAGGCGGGAAATGGATGTGTAGATGAGTCGACAATACACACTACACATGGCTTTGGAGAAGATTTTCTGGATCAGTCTTCTTTCTGCTCTATTCTCGCCGTTCCACAATGCTTCTGTGACAGCTGGCAACGTTGTTGACAATAGCGATTCCACTCCCAAGAAGCCCGGTTGCAGTAAAAATTTTGTTCTGGTATTTCCATATTTTGCTCCATCATTTTCTAATCCAATTTCTCTTCAAATCTTGTTGGGTTTCATATTCTTCTTCTTCATGGGAGGTATACGTTTGCACATGTGTTTGCATGATACTAGTACTTGGACGATAAAAGAACCATAACAATTATGTTATCATTGAAGTAATCAGCAATCACCTCATTCTCCCGCTAAGTCCAACAAAATGAAGTAACAGACCACTCAACCATGGAGACTTTAACCAACCAAAAAAAAAAAAAAAATAGCACTTCAAATAATGAATAAACTGGGACGCAATGAAGAAGAAGAAGAACAGGGATCGTTGAAAAGATGCCCAAACAGAGACGCAAATGTGATAGGCGGAAGAATAGGACTCAGCCGATGGTGAAGGAGGAAGAATGGCAACCAACTCGCCGGCGTTGAAGCTATCGAACGCGGCTACGGATTCAGACACCAGACGAGATCTGTGCTAGTTGTGCTAATGGGTGAGAAACCAAAGGAATGAAGCATGGCCATTGCAGCGAAACAAGAATGGGGATGGGCAACGACTTACCGCCAGTGAAGCTGGCGATTGCAGCGACGAGCTTGGACTCACAACGCGGAGAAGAGAAGAGGGAGACAAGAATGGAAGTGAGAATTAGGGCAAAATGAGAAGGTAGGATTGTTCGGAAAAAGTCATGAACAAGGACAATTTGGTCCTTCAAATAATTATTCTCAGGAATGGATTCCCATTCACATGGTCTGATGGAATGGAAATTTCCTTCCATTGAAATGAGCAATCCAATGCACTAAACATCGATGTTGGTCATTCCTTCTCCCATTTTCATTCTATTTCCACCCATTCGCACAAAGCAAACGAGGCCTAAGGGTGTCACGAACACGTTAACAAGAACACTGAAAGATGGAACAATATATTGTTGTATATGGACCTCGTGTCATGGCAACATGCATCATCTTCACCGCCGTGGCTTGGTGGTGTTTTCCCATTGTTGTCCTTTTAATTTTTTTCTTTTTCATTTTGTTATAATAGCCTGCAACGTTCGAAAGAACTGATAGTGAATCCACGGGAGAGGACAATGTTACTAAGTCTGGGAATGGTGAATAGAAGAACGAATATTATTACTTTAACATTACATCAGTATATATACAGCGTGTACAAGTGGATAATTACTCTGTAAACTACATAACAAATTTAGTGAAGATGTAACTAAACGTAACAGAATTAAGACGGGCCCGGCTGAGACACAAGAAGTGAAAAAAATGCAGCACTGCCAAAGTATTAATGGCAATATATATAATGGCAACCTGTTTTTCTGGACTCAACGATGCACACTAGACATGGCTTTGGGGAAGATTTTCTGGATTGTTCTAGTTTCTGCACTTTTCTTGCTGCTCTTCCATAACGCTTCTATGATAGCTGGGAACGTTGTTGACAATGGCGATTCCGCTCCGAAGAAGCCCGATTGCAGCAACAATTTTGTTCTGGTATTTCCATGCATACTCTCTTCCATCCTGTTCTAATATTTCTTTAAATCTTGTTTGGGTTTCTTATTCTTCTTCATGAGAGGAGTATGTATTCTTCTTTAAATCTTGTTTTCATATGTATTTGCATGATAGTAAGTACTTGGAAGATCGATCAAAGAATATGAACTGGACCATAACAATACGTTATCATTGAAGGTAATCAAAACTGGACCATAACAATACGTTATCATTGAAAGTAATCAAATCAAATATTTTGCAGTACGCAATTACTTCTAGTTCAGCTAATGGAGTGAGCTGGATACTACTTTCCCAAGAACTAAGGTTAACCTGGCAAAATTCTATGTCCCACCTCTGGCTTCCAGTCCACCCCCTTTTCTTTTACTTCATGGCGGCTTAGCTTGTTGGTTCTGTTACAATTCTTCTTTCTTTAGTTAACTTTCCTGCATTCTGCATTTCCAATCAAGGCCTTTTTGTTGTTATGAAATGTTTCAAGCTTTTCCAATCAAACATTCCATATAAACTGGTAGTTCCTCTGTACTTTAGGATAAACTGTTGTGGAAAACCATATTATGTCTTTTCTTTTATCAGGTAAAAGTGAAAACTTGGGTAGATGGCAGAAAGGATGCTGAGTTTGTTGGTATGAATGCCAGATTTGGAAGAACAATTGAATCAGAAAGAAAAATGCTCTGAAATCTCGCCTTTTTCTTTCACATCCTGTAGAATGTTGCAGTACAGACAATAAGGTTATTTGCTTATCTATACTACGATCAAATGTACTTTGATCACTGTGATTGCGAAGTTCTTGGCCCTTTTAAGATAACCGTACTGTATGTTCTGGGTTCTGCTAGCTTGCTGGAGAAGTGATCTTGGCACATCGAGGCCTCTGCAAATTCACTAGAAAGGCAAAAAATGCACAAGCTGCCAATGCTTCGGCTATTCTCATCATAAATTTTAAGGAAGGTAAAATTAATCTACTCGCTAAACTTCACCAAGAGAGCATTACATCACAGCGCTTTGAATATACACTGTCAGTATCAACACAGATTAAGATGCTAAAAATGTTAGGTTTGCTTCCATTACTAACTTTTATAGCCAGTCTATTTTCGTTAGCAGAACTTTTCGAGATGGTCTGCGAAGCTGATGAAACCCTTTTAGACATACACATTCTTGCTGTCATACTACCAAAAATATCAGGAGAAAGGTTGAAGAAAATGCTGACGAGCTTTTCATCCGGTGAGGTTTCTTCTTGTCTCTACGACATATTAACATATGCATTGTTCATCCTTCTGTAGTGTTGCAACTGTTCCTATATACTAATATATCGTTTCCTCCACCTTTGATTTCTGCAGTGTTTGTGCGACTATACTTTCTATCTCGACCTGCAGTTGATGTAGCAGAAGTGATTCTACGGTTGATTGTAACTGGGACCATAATGTGTGCATCTTGTTGGTCAGCAAGGAGAGCCAGAAAAGCAGTTACTGAACGAGACAAGCTATTAAAGGTCAGTTTTCTCAACTGTTTTGAACATAACTTTCGACTTTCCTTAAACAAGAGATCATTCTCTTGGTGCATTGGGATTTTTTTGTATCTTACCACTTGCTGTCAAATGATTTTTTTGTCGGACGCTGTTGAGGAAATGCCAAGTGCTATAGATGGAGTTGATGGTGGTGTGATAAACATAAACACGAAAGGCGTAGTCCTTTCTGTAGTAGCTGCTTCGAGTCTCCTGTTATAGTATAAAAACTACTGCCGTTGTCGTTGTGGTTCATTGAACTTTTGGTTGTTCTCTACTGTGTTGGTAGGACTGAGGTATATGCAGACGCAGTCTCTGTTGAGCACTGTATGTTCAAATTTCTAAATTATATATCTGTGCTTAGAAAACTATCATAATGCATGAATGCACTTCATGAAAATATTACGTCTTTGCCACCATCTTTTTCAATTTTCTTGCGTGTATTCTGTCTTCGTTGGTTTTGACATTATGTTCTGCTTCATGTTAGCTCTAACCGGTGGCGGATCTAGCCATCTAGGTTCTGGAACCAGCGGGAGCAATTTTTTAAAATAAAAATTAATTAATTTTAAATAATAAATATTATCATCATAGACATAGACACAGATATAATTACTGAGGGTAATATAATAAATTTAAAAAAGAAATATATTATCAAAATTATATGTGAATACTGATTATAAGATCATGTAAAAAAGTAATTAATATGTGTATATATGTATATGATTGAATAAATTATACACCCTACAATTTTAAATATAGTAGCAAGTTTTTTAAGTTTATCTTAATTCATTCTGTTCAAAACTCAATTCATAAAATATAGTTGAACATTGTTACTCCTTTAATGATATTTTTTTTCTAAAAAATAGCATTCTATTCAAAATTTTAAAACTTTACAATTAGTCCATTATAAATCATGTTTTAGTATATTTGATTAATCAAAAGATTAGAAATTTTAAATCACAATTTAAACAAATGCATGTAAAAATTATTTGGACAAATTAAAAAAAAAACTAAAAGTTTCATCCAAAAATACACATTAAAAAATATCTACAATATACCTCAAACATCTTTTCATCAATACAATAAGGTAAATAAAAATATAAAATATCTCATGATGTGAAGATGAATTGAGGTGGCCGTACCACACTCCTCTCACCTGTTTTTCACTTTTCTTCCAAGTTAGCCTTTCTCTTCTCCATCAAGTCTCAACTTCGTTTAGTGAGTGCGCGCAGAATCAAGAAACAAGTGGGGGCATATTGCAACCAGACTAACAAGGCATGTGTAATTTTGAAGATTCCAGAGTTGCCCATGCTGGGACTAACGTAGGTCCACCACTGGCTCTAACCTTAGTTTCTTTTACCTGCAGGGCTTGCAAGTTTGCTTGATTGCTTTATGTTCAAGGTGTGGATTTTTCATCTTTTATCAATATCTTACTTGTGGGAAGTTATGAACCTCGTGTCTTGGCATATTTGTAGTAACATTACCATGAAATAGTTTTGAACTCTTTGGAAACTATTTTTGTTTCTCCATTCGGTAAGCTTAAAATGGATCTGATAAAGCGTTAGCCTCCTTTGATGATCAGACCAAAAACTAACCCCATTGTAGAGTCTTGTCCCTCTTATTACATGTTATCAGAAACATTTTATTTTCCAGTTAGGTGGTTCTAGCGAGCTGGCGAGTCATGCATTAAAGTACCTTTCCTTGGAGCTATCTCGCACCTGGCTCTCGCTATTTCTCCATTCTGCATAACATTTTCTATCCTCTGGGCAATTTATCGCAAGGCCTTCTTTCCTTGGATCGGCCAAGACATACTAGTAAGGACATATTTTCCCTAGTCTTAAAAATCTTCTCTCTCTTTCTCTCCACATTTTTCCCGGAAAGGTTTAAAATTTTAGTTGTGAGTACCGTTTATGCTTAGACAAGCTAGAAGAAAGCTAAACCAAGATTGGGACTCGGCTTCACGTGAAAACACTCTTTATGAAAGCTTTCTTTGATTGCTGATAACAACTTCACTATAAATCTCTTTACATCTCTCCTGAACATCAATTTATTCATTTACTGAATCTAACATATGGAGTTTCTAGCATTGATACTGACTTCAGGCGATTCTATCAAGTCTCTGCTTAGAAAGCAGCAAGCTGTTAATAACCTTTTACCTTGCTTTGATCACTCAGACAGGGAATTGGGCTCACGATGACAGTTCTCCAGCTTGTGCAAATACCTAACCTCAAGGTAGTAATTTCAGCTCAGGCTATCATCTATAGGAAGTTATTTTAACACCGTTGTGTACGGATTTTTTTTTTTAAGAGTTTTGTTAAGATGAATAAAGTTTTTCCCCCTCTGATTGTCAGTAGATAATAATCATATCTATTTTATACATTAGATATTCTGTAGCTTTGTTTAGGGCACATGAAATGTCCCTTCAACAATTGATAGAATACTCAGGTGATTTCAGTTTTTCTAAATCGGGTAGGCACTGTTCTTCTCAGTTGTGCACTTATCTACGACCTGTTTTGGGTGTTTGTCTTAAAGAAGCTGTTCAATGCAAGCGCGATGCTTGAGGTTAGTCTTTTTATTTGCCATTTAAAACCGTGACACTCATAAAGAACCTTTTTCATGACATCAGCAAAGTACCTGTGCAGTAAGTAATTTAACAGCTCAAATTTTTCCAATAGGCAGCCCAAGGTGATAAAAGCGGAGAAGATGGTATGCCAATGCTGCTGAAGTTTCCACGCATTGTGGTTACAGCATCATAGGATTTGGAGATATTATTATACCAGGTCTGCTGGTAGCATTCTGACTCAGGTTTGTGCTCCTCCTTAGTTGTCTTCTTCCTCATTTTTGTTTTTAACTACAAGCAATATGGTAACTTCTTTTTAAAGGAAAACAATTAATTTGTCAAATCGAACTTTGGCCATTTTTAACAATTGACAATGTCCAAGTGGGAAAAATATGAAATGAAAAATGCCTTGGTTTCTGTAATATTTTAGGGTTCGTTTGGATTTCAGTTGGGTATAATAAATTATGAAAATAATTGATTAAGTAGTAGATTTTAATCATAATTGATTATGTTATAACACAATCTGTTTGGATATTTTTTTTAAAATTGATTTTAATAGAATTGAAGATGTTTGCATAATGTAATTAGAATTAATTTTTAACTATATAAATTACTATATAATTTAATTTTTAAATATCAAATATTAATTTTTTGAATATACAAAGTTTAAATTTTATTAAGAAAAAAAAAGAAGAGAGTTTAATTTTATTTTTATTAAATTATGTGCTTTCTTTGTAATTTTTTCTTGAACCTTTTTTTTTTTGTAATTTTTTTCAATACTTTTTGACAAAGCTTACGCGAAAGCTGATGGAGATAACTTCAGAAAAAACGCGCGTTTACGGCCATAATCGATTTTTGCTCTTTTCTAGCTGTTTGAATAACTTGGCTCAAAAAATTGATTCTGGACTAAAAAATCGATTATCACGCCTATCGAAACACACGCTTAGACAGTTGTAACTTTAACTTTCCCTGTTACATGCTTGTGGGAGAGGAAGCTTTTCCAATGAACAGTATGGGCCATTCATGCAGGTACGATTGGCTGGCAAATAAGAGTCTTCGAGATGGATACTTCTTTTGTGGACAATACTCGCATATGGCTTTGGTGAGGCTAACCAGCAATCAACTTGTCTATTCGGCTGTTCCCATGTGAGCTTAACTTTTTTTCTCTTTTTCCCAGAGCAAAACTTTTTGATAGCTGAATGAAAGAATGACTTTGACAGGTCTTATGATTACATACTTAGCACTAAACTTGATGGATGGGCAAGGCCAACCAGCACTGCTTTACATTGTTCCATTCACCCTTCGTAGGTTTTGTGGTGAAAATAACCTGAAATTATCCACGAAGTAATTCAACAGCTACAGTTATATGCTCGCAGTTTCATTCATTGATGCAGGGACCATTCTGGCATTGGGGCATAAACGTGGGTATCTGAGAAATCTGTGGATAAATGGAGAACCAGAGAGACCCTGCCATCATGTTAAGACCTCAGAACATCGAAGAATTAAACCCTCAACGATGATGTAAATCTGACCTCTAATTACTCTATATCCAGTGTACAGTTAACCTGTTCTATTCCATGAGATCGTTCCTCTTTCATGCGCCTTACTGGGTTTTGAATTGTGATGTACTTTTGAATTAAAACGAGAGGGGGAAAACGGAAAGAGATATTGTTAAAATGGCTGTGGCAGTCAGTGGATGCGTGAAACAAAAATCAAAAGAATGCAGCAAGCCGACATCGGCAAAATTGTTGGGAGTGAGAAGGGAGGGGCCACAGCTGTAGATGGTATATGTAGACAAAAACTGAGGGAGGCAATGAGACATGTAGAATTAATTATTAATTAATCAATAATAAAAGTGCATTCTGATTCCTGAGCAGCAGTCTGGCTAGTTAGGTATTATTGCCTCTTACAATCGAACAAAAGCAATAAAGAACCTGACATGACGCAAAATTGATTAATCTTCAATTCCGAGCATTACTACATGGGAGTACTCAATTCTCTTGCTAACATGCGATTAGTTTATTTGCCATTCCAAACACAACACTATCGGGATAAGTAACTAGTCTTGACTTGTCATAGACTGGTGGGTGTTATTACTATTATTCAATTCAAATGGCAATAATCCCAAGGACAATGAAATTGTTAATGTTAAAAGTTGATGCATACGATATGTCTCATTCAATTCAAGTGTTCGTTGGCAACGGAGAGGATAGGCATCAGGAAACAAGACATGAAACAAGAGCAAAGGTTGAAATGGAGCCGTTGGAATAAATGAAGAGGCAAGCAGGGAGAGATAGAGATGTTGGTTTCACGACATAAATGTGCAGTTGATGTTCCTTCCCCTTTTTGGTTCTCACTTATTTGTTGCTTTTGGAGCAGTAACCCAAAAAGCAGGTAAGGGAAGTCTCCTAAGGAATGAAGGTGAGAGCTTGGGTGGGGGCTAGAGGCTGCGTGCCTGCATGTGAGCTGGAGCCCACCAGGGTGAGCTGTCTCGCATGTATATATCTGCCGAAAGAGGATTAGGGTCATGTGATGGTGGTGCCTTTAAAGCTGGCCCCGCCCAAGAATTTGGTAGAATTTTAGGGATATGGAGTTGATCCAACGGCTGAGATAGCGCCGCCTCATTATCAACCGTGATCCTTCTCAACGGAATAAAACTGCAAGTGAAGTTGAGGATCTCTACATACACGGCATTTTTTTTTTTTGTTTTTCTGTCAGATGCATACCCGGCATTTAAATCTAGGGAACTCGAAAACATTTCTTCTTTTTGGCTGAGTTCTGTTAAAAAAATAGGAAAAATAAAATCTAATATAAGAATTGACATGCACAAATTATAATATTTTTCGTGAAAAAAAAGTAAAATTAATGTATTCTGAAATTAAAATATTAAGGGGCGTATCTTTTTCAGTATGAATCTCTTGTTGTCATCTCGAGTGGATTTATTTAGTAAATTAAATGAAAGGAATATAATTATATAATGGAGGTCCATGGCTTTAATAAAATAAATTAAATCGTGCATTTATTCAAAATACAACGGAAACCATGGTGTCTCTGGCCCAGCCAGCTGATTACATGACCTCTTCGAGACTCCATGATGGAGATGCTAACAGAACAAATCCCACAATCCTCTCCCTTTGTTGTTGTTTTATAAAATAAAATTGTGTTAACTCAAACAACCCCTCAAATGTATGATGTAAGAGGGTGCATTGATGACTTATTATTTAGATCTAATTAGAAACCAAGTCTACACGAATAATAAATAACTCATGAGCGGACGCAACGCATAGCTGAATGTGGAAGGGAGATTTTGCAACGGTAAATAGGGTTTGATGTTTCGCATGTGCTGCCAATAGTTGTCATGTCACTTTCCCAACGGTCACCAGCTAACGGCCGTCTCTCCCACAACGTGAGAAGAAATTTACTTGGCCGGGAAGCACTTCAAGCAGGCCTAGGGATCCGTCTGGGTTTGTGGCTTTTAAGGGGGGGTGCTTTCTTACTTTTTAAAGGTCAGATATTATTTGATTTTAATTTTTAAAAAACCTATTTAAAAAATCCTTTTTAAATATTATTGAATATATTTTAATCAATTTAAAATAATAAAACTTTTAAATAACGAATTTAAAAAATAAAATATTATTTAATCATACTACCCTAAATTTAATCACTTATTTTTTATTTAAAAAATAATTAATTTATTTAAAATATAATTAATATTTTAATAATAATAATAATTAGACATCAAATTTTTAAGTATTATAAATTTACTAATTAATCAATTTAATTTTTAATATTAATGTATAATAAAGATTATAAATATTTACTACATTTTTTAAAATTATAAATAATTAGAGATTAATTTTTAATATTATGAATCAAACTTTATATTATTTAAAATATTTATTATATTTTTTAAAAATTTTATCTATATTATATTTATATAATAAAAATTATTAATGATTATAAATTAATGTTATTTTTATAATTATATATTTTAAAATACATTTCATTATCATAATTACTTGACGGCACCAACTGGTCTTGCTTACTTGAAGGATCAAACGGCCCTTAGCAGCAAAGCAAACGGCACAAAATTTAATTTAAAACAAAATCATGTGAGGACAAGCAAATATTAATGACAAGGATGCCACCCTTGAATCTGGACAGAGTATAACAAAGTCCTCAAACATTAAATTTTAATAATTTATAAATTTAACTTTCAATTTTTATTATAATAAATTTATATTTTATATTTTAAATTTTAATAAAAAATAAATTTACTTATTTTTTAATTACATTAAAATTTAAAAAATAAGTTATAAATTTATTATAATAAAATTATAAAATTAAAAGATAAATTTATAAATTTTTAAAATTTAACACTTAAAATTTAATTTAAATTAATTAGTTTTTTTTGGACTCATCCCTGATCTGTATCCTCCTCCCGTCTCAGGATAAGGACAACGCAGACATCCCAACCAGAATCTACCAACATCCGCTCCCCCTGCTTTCCAGAATAATCCTTATCCTTCCATCAAAACTTTACTCTCCCTCCCTCTATCCCTAAGTGCACCCTCTCATGAAACTTAAGCCCCTCGTTTAAAAAGCATTAGGAAAGTTTCCAACGTTTTCTTTTATTTTCTTTTCTTCTGGGGAAGGCATATATCCTGATATATGTATATATATATATATTCAAGCATAAATATCCAACAAGCTTCCAAGATAAAAGTATTAAGAACGGCGCAAAGAAAAGGATAGCATCCATTAGAGTGACATTTATTACTGTTTTTAAAGGATCCAATGTTGACGAGCTAAGGTTATAACGTACTATATTATATTCTATTGAAGGAATAAACTTATTTTTACTATGATTATACAATATTTTTGTAGTTTTTCTTACTGATACGAGTCTGTTTTCTAGTTTTAGAATAATTCAAATACAAAAATGACAAAATAGTTTTTTGATAAAAAATATTAAAGTATACTCAAACAAAAAATACTCAAAATACAGGCGCCTACGCTTGCTCCGTGTACGGCAAAAGTGACTGTTGTCCATTCTTGTAATTTGGGAGCAAAAAAACGCAATGACCTCCTCTGCTATAAAACGCCTCTAATCTCTTCCTCATCCACAGAAACTTGCTTTGAGAGTTCGGTGAAAGAAAGGGGGTTATTCGGGAGAGCTAGACTGCTAGAGTGAGTTGCCATGGATACAAAAGAAGATGTGAGGGTCGGAGCAAACAAATTCTCAGAGAGGCAGCCGTTGGGCACGGCGGCTCAGACCGACAAGGACTACAAGGAACCACCACCAGCACCCTTGTTTGAGCCAGGCGAGCTCAAGTCATGGTCATTCTACAGAGCCGGCATTGCCGAGTTCGTGGCCACCTTCTTGTTCCTCTACATCACCATCTTGACCGTCATGGGCGTCAAGAGGTCACCCAAGTGTGCCTCGGTTGGCATCCAAGGCATTGCCTGGGCCTTTGGTGGTATGATCTTCGCTCTGGTCTACTGCACTGCCGGAATCTCAGGTAACCCCTTCGTTCTCTTCTTCTTTCAACCTTTAAATCTCACCAGTGACGTTAAATTCTAGTGTTGAAAGCTCAGATCTGAGTAAATGTTGGTTTGGTTTGGTTTGTAACAGGTGGACACATCAACCCAGCAGTGACCTTTGGTCTGTTCTTGGCGAGGAAGCTGTCCCTCACCAGAGCAGTGTTCTACATGGTGATGCAGTGTCTGGGAGCCATATGTGGTGCTGGTGTTGTGAAGGGTTTTGAGGGTAATGCTCGGTATCAGATGTACAATGGTGGAGCAAATATGGTAAACCACGGATACACCAAGGGTGATGCTCTTGGAGCTGAGATTGTTGGCACCTTTGTCCTTGTCTACACTGTGTTTTCTGCCACTGATGCCAAGAGAAGCGCCAGAGACTCTCATGTTCCTGTATGTATTTCTCGGCTCTCTAACATCTTCTGGTTCTGCTGGTTTTCATTGTTAAAGTTTTAGGGTTCTGGTACTTTGGTTAGTCCATAAGAAATTGTACGAACAAGATACCCGCAAAAGCAAGTCCTTTACCATGATAGGTCAAAGTTAGTTCAACCACAAAGTTTCACCTACAGCAATTAGCACAAACAAGTCACATAATTGATACATAATCTGTTAGTTCATTAGTTCAACTGATCGAACTCTTTTCAGTTATCTGCAGTAGAATATTTTATTAACAAGATAATGATTTTATTTGTTTATTTATTTGGCCAACGGATTCTTCGGTTTTGCTTACTTGTTTCTGTCAGATTATTCTGTTGTGAAACTAAAACCAAAGCTGGGAACTTTGAGCTGTATGGGAACGCATAAGATGATTTGTGAACTTCTCAGAAGAGGCAACGTCTTGCTTTTTGGCAAGACTAGACCTATTTTGTTTTGTTGTTTTTGGTTTTGTTTGGTAACAGAGACTAGACCTATTTTGATGTTGTCTGATGTAATTGTAGGTTTTGGCTCCTCTTCCCATCGGATTTGCTGTGTTCTTAGTGCACTTGGCAACCATTCCCATCACAGGAACGAGTATAAACCCAGCAAGAAGTTTGGGTGCTGCCATCGTCTTCAACAGGGACGCTGCATGGGATGATCAAGTAATATTCCTCTCATTCTGATTCTTTATAATAAATCAAGTTACTTGATTCCTTTTGCCTAAAATTCACAGTTAAATGCTATCTAATCTCTCTATATTACATGCATGCAGTGGATATTCTGGGTTGGACCTTTCATTGGAGCTGCCCTGGCTGCTGTATATCACCAGATCGTCATCCGAGCCATTCCTTTCAAGTCAAGGGCTTAAGACCCTCATCTTCTCTGCTCTGCTTCTTTTGTATTATTATTTGGATCTTATTTTTGTTTGCGTTTGTGTGTGTAAATTATGAGATCATGACCTCTTTCTTTGTGTCAAACTTCGAATGTAGAATTCTTTTTTTAACATATCTGGTTTTTTTTTTTTGGGGGTTCATGATACCTTCCTCAATTTTCTCATCGTGCAAACCATCCTTCTGGACTGATAATAATAGTGAATGAACTGTGATTTTTGTAAGCTTGAGCTGCCAATGTGGAGCAGACAGACAGGAAATTCTTGAAGGAGCCACAAATTGTGAAGAACATGTTTGATTCACTTTGGGTCAACTCCACAAGTTAAGAAATTTTTAACACTTGAATCAGCAGACTCATTGTCCCATAAAAAATGTTTCACAGTTTTCTATGAACAATGAATGGAAGTGAATGTTACTTGATTACGAGAAACCGTCTTCAACAGAGGATTATTTCAACTCGTTTATGTTTATCTCTTTTTATTAGCATTGTTTTATGTTCATTGGACCACGAGCAATCGGCAATTACTAATTGGTATTCCACACGCACAATTTCCCAGGTCAATGTTTAAGTGATTGTTTTCCGGGGAGAAAGTTCTGAGACCTAAAAGGCGAGGCAATCCGTGGAGATGAGGCCAAGCGACAGATTATAACAATTTTGATAATAAGCAATTATTAATATAATTCTTAATTCTTAACAATAGAGATTAGTCCCTAAATCTAATAACAGATTAATTAAATTAAATTGAAATTAAAATATACTGCATTCAATTCAAAATATAAAACATTTTTAATTATAATTTGAATGTTAATAAAATTCAGTTTCCTTTTTATCCTTTTCCCGAACTGTTAATAATAAATTAAATGAGAGATAATATTTTTTTAATAAAGTACTATAATATAAAAACGCATGAACTTCCTTACACATCAATAAAATTACCTAACAATAAGGTTATATTGTGATAAATATTAATAAGGTTACACAACAAACTAAAGTGATAAATATAAGAGTAAAATAGGCAAAAAATTTTAAAATTTATTAAGTATCTTGTATTTTCAATTAAAATGAGCTGAAAAAAATGTTTTATAATTTAAATAGGAGGAACTATTTATTAAATAATGAAATTAATATCTGGAATGAAATTTAAAAGTTACCGAAAGTAACCGGAAAACACAAGTGAACAAAAGTACGCTTTTATCCCTCGCAAAATGATGAAATATGAAAGGAGAACGACGAAAATGGTGTAACGAGTCAGCTCCTGGTTTGCACATGATCGTATTTCTCTGCGAACGCAAAATATGTGGATGTTTGGTTGGAAGGGGCCATCAGGATTCTCAGCCACTTCCACTGCGGAGCAAGTTACTCAAGGAATCGATGGAAACGATCTCACCGCCATCGTCACAGGTTTTTCTTCCATTCATTTCCTTCTCCTTGTTTTTTTCCCTCTAAACTTCTGATTGGGTTTACTGTACACAAATACTATCATTTTGGTGTCGAGAGAAAATTTCTTGCAGTGCTTCTATTGATAGTCATCACTGATGACCGATGGCTGGATTTTCTCTCTCTCTAAACTAAACATTAACAACACTTGTTAGATGAAGGCTTAGCGTAAGTAAGATTATCGGACGAATTAATAAAACTGGAAAGTTGTTTATTGGTTTGATGTTGATTTCCGTTTGTACGATGCATCGGTGGTGACTTGTTTCTAAACCAGTTGTGTTAATCTAGTCAATGACCTGGAGCGAACTTATCACTGACAGTGCCAATACCCTCCTCGGAGGCTCCGTAACTCTGAAGTTATAATCTAACAATGTTTTGATGATGTCTCAATGTCCTGAATGCTTCTATATGTAGATAGGAAGGGGAAGGGAAGTAGTAGGAGCTTGATATTTAGACTATATAGCCATTCTCTGATCATCTAGCATGTTGAGGTTATGGTTGATTGACGATGAGGGCCAAACTTATTCAACTAAAAACAAAATTGAAAAAAAAAGAAAGAAAGAAAAAAACTTTTTTCCGTCATATATTACTAAACTGTCGAGTCAGAATGCAATTCGACATGGTATGATATACTACACTACTGCTTATTACTTAGTTGGAATCTGAAATTGGAATGATTATCCACTAGTCTCTTTGGGTACTCATATTTAGTTAAATTTCAGGGGCATCTAGTGGTCTTGGTCTTGAGACCACCCGAGTTCTAGCATTGCGTGGAGTCCATGTGGTTATGGCTGTAAGGAATGTGGACTCTGGTATGAATGTCAAAAACAGAATACTCAAGGAAATCCCCTCTGCTAAAATTGATGTCATGACGTTAGACCTTAGCTCAATGGCATCAGTAAGGAAATTCGCTGCAGATTACAATTCCTCTGGTCTGCCTCTCAATATCCTAATGTAAGAAGTTTAGTAATATGTGGTCTGCCTCTTAAACTTCTAATGTAAGAATGTTCAGCAATAGTTGTAGTAGACATATAAATTAGAGCTTCTTTTTATCAATTTTAGCCCTTTATGTTTCTCCTGGCCTATGTATGTGTCGCCAGGTGGCTGAATTCAGTTGATTGATATCTTCTGATTAATGAATGCTCTCTGTTTGTAAGAAATAGCTTGTTGATTTATTACCTTTTTGCTTCCTGGGGTGCCTTTAGAAACTCTTCTGAAATTTGCCAATGCAATCTCCTATTTCTCTTGCAACCCTGCACAGTGTTGGGGATACGGAGGGAGAATTATTAGGAATATTGCATAGAAATAAACTTCCATCTTTATTGATTTTCAAATTACACGCTTGAAATTCAACATAATTTTTTGGCTGAAGTAATAATGCAGGAATTATGGCTGCCCCATTCACTCTTTCTCAAGACAACATTGAGTTGCAGTTTGCAACCAATCATTTAGGTAGTGAACTTGGAAATCATACGTTTTCATCAGCTTATCTCTGAATGATTCATATGTCAATTATATTTAGGAATAAGTTAAAATAAGGAATTTAGGGATTTTAAGGATTAATACTATTTTGCAGGTCATTTCCTGTTAATAAACCTTTTATTGGAAAATATGAAGAAAACTGTGCATGAATGCAAGCGGGAGGGAAGAATAGTTATTCTATCATCAGAGGCACACAGATTTGCATATAATGAAGGGATTCGTTTTGATATGATCAATGATGAATCCAGGTATGCTCTGGCTAAATAAATCGGTGCCTTTTTCCCTCTTTCTGCGTGCTATTAAACCCATGTTATAAATGTTCTTTCTTGATGTTCCGTTTCCCCTTTGATAGATGTTCTTTCTTGATGTTCCGTTCCCCCTTTGATATATAGTTTTCCTGGTTCCCAAAATAAAATGCTTCCCCTTTCTCTATTTGATTATTTACATTTTACAGATACAACAGTTATTTTGCTTATGGACAATCAAAGCTTGCTAATATTTTGCATGCAAAAGAGCTTTCAAGGCGCTTGAAGGTATTCTACTTGTAAAAGGCATAATTTTTTTTTTTTTTAATTTCATGTGTTTTTAACTTAATACCTTCAGTAAACATAGCTATACCAACTTGAAATAAATTGCTGTCAAATTACATCAATATTTCTTTAACTCTCAGAAGTTAGAACTTCACATGTTTTTACTGATGTTTCTATGTTTTAAGGAAAATGATATTTGAGGGTCTTAGCTGTATAAATTTTACAGTCAATGGCCATAAAAACCAAACATTCTTAAAAACCAATGGTCTTAACTGATTGGTTGAGTTTGATTTATAGCTACTTTTATTTTTGATTGGTTGACAGGAAGAAGGAGTGGAAATAACTGCTAACTCCCTTCATCCGGGGACAATTATAACAAATATTCTTCGGTATCATGGTTTCTTTAATGGTATCATTTATTCTCTTAATCTAACGTGAATATGTTTATTAAAGTATCCTTACTCGGTCAAACTGCTGTTTCGATTTAAATGACAAGATTGCTCTGTTTATTGTCTAAGATCAGGTTAGGCATTATAGTAAACACTGACAAACTTCACATTAATATGGTTGTCAGGTTAGCGTTTTGAAAGCCAATAGCCCAATCTATTTAACGTGATTTTGATCAAAGGTTTTCACCATGATGCAAGAGATCGTAGATTGTCCTATGATCCCTTCTGAACTTGCAATAAAAATTTGTGGCCACTGGCAGTTCTTAATTCTGGATTATTCCTTGCCTGGGGAATAGTTTTGTTCTATAATAACGCATCTAATACTTGGGATTTTGCAGCCGTTGCTAGCGTGGTGGGAAAGTTCTTCCTGAAAACTGTGCAGCAGGTAATTTGTGTCTTTCCTGGGAATATCTGGAGTTGACATTTATGCCTTCTGTTGCTGATGCGCTTGTTTGTCATCTAAATTCTTAATAATTCATTGTGAATACTGAATCCTGGGGGTTGTTTGTAGGGAGCTGCAACTCAATGTTATGTGGCGTTACATCCACAAGTCAAGGGAATATCTGGTGAATATTTTATGGACAGCAACATGGCTAATCCCACCTCTCTGGCTACAGATTCAGAATTGGCGAGAAAACTCTGGGAATTCAGCTTGAGCCTGACGGATCAAAAATAGGTTTTTTTTTTTTTTTGGTCTTGAGAGGACCCAAAGTAGCTCGCAGCTTTGTCGGGCTTTTTCTAGGCGAGAAAACTGTTATAGAACATGATATGTTGCCGCCTATTAGGATTTTTTTTTTCCCCAGTACACAAAGGTAAACATTGAAATGCTTGAAATGGCAGAATTGAACCTGCGGCTTGTCACCAACAGGATCATACCACTAAGTTACAAGGCGAATGACCCATTACGAATTTCAACATGTGGTAATATGCTTGATGCTTTTAAAATTTGCTTCTTTAAAAGAAAACCATTTAACGGTAAATATCATGCGTCTTGTAGGGAAATTAGGGTGTGACTCTTAAATGTTCTTTGAAGATTTTTAATAAAAACATAGAAATTACTCTCTCTATTTAAAAATATAAGGTATTTTTAATTAAATTTCACTCTCAATAAAATAGTTATTTACTTTCAAACTAATTCTATGTTTTTATACTTATTCTTATTAAACACTTTACAATAAATTAAAGTTAACATTAATAGGGACGCTTTAAAAAAAAGACAGTGATTAACCTCAAAAGATTAAAATTTTTTTATATTTTTAAACATTCAATTCCTTCAAAAATGCTTTATATTTTTAAACGGAAAGAGTATAAATTTTTAATGATTCGTTAATGGAAGATTAAATTTTAAAAGAATTTTAAAGGAATCAAAGATAAACATCTCTCTATTCTTGTCTCTCCCATTGTTTCATGATAATTCAAGGGATGTATGCAATGCATTCGGAAAAATCAGTGTAGACTCAGATTTGTTTTGTTTGCTCCATTAGCATTGTGGGCTAGACCTACAAATTTCATATTTTAAACTTATTATTTATTCATGGGTTAAAGTATAAATTTATTCTCAAAGTTTATGGTATACCTAGTATCTTTAAATATTTTTTGGCCAATGTCATTTCAATATTTTTTTTAATTTGGTACAATGTAGCCCTATCGTTAGGGTCTTACTAGGTTGACTATTATATGTTTTGTAAGCTTGCCACATTCCACATGTTACTTCTCTCCTTTATCAATTTGTTCTTTCTCTTCTCCCATCCAATCTTGTTCTCAAAGCTCCTCCAATGAATAAGGCCATACAATTGACTGGAAGCTTCTTCAATGAAACTCATATCGTTCTCTCCCAACTCAAAATCTCCTCATTCATTTATGTTCTCCTCTAGTTTTTCTTTCTATTTTTCCTCTGCATGGGTTGCACAATCACATTAAGAATACCTAATAATTGCTCTCCCAACATCATATCACAAGGATGTTTGATTTGTTATATTGATGATTTTGATTCATGGTTCTTAGTGATTTTTCTTTTAAGTGTTGTGTTTATCGTTTAGATCTTCCACAATTCATTTTGAAGTCTACTAAAGATAGTGAAAGCTAGTGGGTTGGATCTGGCATATGGTGTTAAAGGAAAGATTAAGAAAGTCGAAGTCTTGTCTGCTTCACTATGGGTGCTTTCAACCCTAGATTTGATGGTATTTAGGCACCCTTTTTTCTAAAACAATGGCATTTTATAGGGGATAAGATTTGTTCTATGATTAAGAGAATTTCTGTTGATCCAAGCAAGATTAGGGAGGTCAATCAAACTAATTTGGTGCTTATTCCTAAGGTTGATTACCCTTCCTCTCTCAAAGATTTGCAACCTATCTCTCTTTGCAATGCAAGCTTTAAGATTGTTACCAAAATCCTTGAAATTAGGATGAGAGGAGTTATGAAATACTCAGTAAACCCCAACAATGTAGCTTTATTGAATGGAGATAGAATTGTGATAATATTATTATTGCTCGATAAATCATACACTCCATGAGAAATTAGAAAGAAGAAAAAGTTTTATAGCTTTAAAAGTGGATACGGAAAAAGCTTATGATAGACTTGATTAAGAGTTTTTGTTGGATACTTTCAAGCAGTTAAGATTGGACAAATCCATTATAGATCTTATCATGGCCTGTGTTACTACCAGCATCATGAAAGTTCTATGGAATGGGGAAGATACTCCTCAATTCTCTCCCATGAGAGGGCTCAAAAAAGGAGATCCCTTAAGCCTTTATCTATTTGTTCTTTGCATGGAAAGATTGGGTCATATCATTAAGAAGGAATGTTAGGCTAAACATTGGAAACCTTTTAAATTCTTTAGAAAGGGTCCTTCTATTTTTCATCTCTTCTTTGCTGATAAGTTGCTTTTGTTTGCAAAAGCTATTAGGGGGCAAATGGATACAATTAAGAAAGCCATGTAGATTTTCTATGGAGCCTCAAGACATAAAGTGAACTTGACCAAATCAAAAATGTGTTGCTCGACTAATATGCATCTCAATAGAGCTATAGAGTTAAGTCAACAGGTAGGGGTTAGTCTTACTAATGACTTGGGAAAGTATTTGGGGATCCCTCTTCTTCATATTAGAGCAACTAAAATCATCTTTAACCCTATCGTTCATAAAGTTAGGAAAAATTATCCTCCTAAAAGGTAAAGTTTTTGAGTATGGTTGGGCACATAATATTCATAAATTCTATCTTATTTTCTATTCTTAGCTACTCAATGCAATCCATGCTTTTTCTAAAGGGAGTAGGAATTTTAAGTATCTCCATGCCCAAAATAAAGCATTTATGTTTAAACTTTGTTGGAGAATTTTGTGCAAACCTCAATGTCTTTGGGTTCAGTGTTTAAGAGCTAAGTACCAATGTGATAGTGAGGCTACTCTAAATATTAGAAAGAAAAGGAGCTCATCTTATACTTGGAAAAGTATAGTGAAGGTTTGGGATTATTTCTTTAAAAAGGTTAGGAGGTAGATTGTTGGTGGAAGAGATACCAATTTCTGGTAGGACTTGTGGTTGAATTTTGAACAACCCCTCATATCTTATGTCACTAGTATAAGCACATTGGAAATCAGAGAGCTTCTATTAGAGATTTTGTCACCAACAAGGGTACCTGAAATGTTGAAAAAATGGAGAAGATGTTTACCTTAAAAGGCTATCAATTCTCCATGTAAGATCAATGCCCCTAGATCAGAAGGGGTAGATAATTATAGATGGATAGGATTTTCAGATGGGAACCTTTCTGTTAAATTGGCTTATGATTTCATTTTATGATGGGAGAATGACTAACCAAATCTTAGGTGGGTTTCTTTCTAGGGATGGCCAGTTCTTGAAAAAATTAAGTTATTCTTGTGGCAAGTTTCTCATGAGAGACTTCCAACTAATTCCCTAAGAGCTAAGAGAGGGCTTACTAACAATCACCTTTGTCCCTTTGAGTGTAATAGAGAGAAAAATATCATAGATATACTTTGTGAGTGTCCTAGAGCCTATGAGGTTTAGAGTGCTATTATTAAACCTAACACATTACAAAATTTCTTTTGTGGTAATTTATAGGTTCGGACAACTTGGAATTCACATCATAATCCAAGTAATAGTAAATTCAGCTAATGGACAAAGGTGAAAATATTTGGTATAGTATGCTAAACTCTATGGAAGACTAGATGTCAAAAAGTATTTGATGGGAACTCAATGTCCACCAATGAAATTTTGCATATTTGTTTTGCTCAACTTATGGAAGAAAATAATAATGGTGCGATCAAGAATAGAATTTTCCTTGATGCTATAGAATTACAGCTACATTGGACTCCCTCACCACTTGAGCTTGTCTGAGTTGATGTAGATGCATCAGTTCAACAAAATCAAAAGGCAGCTTGTGAACATTGTAACACACCAATTTTTTTTAATAATTTAACTCAATCATAATTGGATTACAGCCACCCAACACATTTTTATATCAATAATTTTAATATAAAATATTTTATAATTGGCTTCAACTCACACAATATAACATTTCAGATAAGTTTTTACCTCCCACACGCCATTAGGCTAAATCACATTTATCCATCCTTATACTCCTAACAAGTAAAATAAATAATTTAGTCAATTTTCAACACAAGCCAGTTATTTGGCTTCATAATCATGCCATTTTAACCAATCCAAAGTAAACTAAATATTAAAATTACAGTCATCCAAATTGTACCAAAAATAGAAATAGTTTGAAAGGCATGATTACATTTATATATTCATATAATTGTCAATAAACAAAAAGCCCTAATATTGACAATATAACACATTATAAATCATAAATTAAATACCCAAAGAGACAGTGGATCTATGCCACTAAGCCTCTGGGACTCCTCCACATGTCACTTGTGGCTCTTCTCCTAAAAATTGTTAACTACATAATGAGACTCAAAAGTCCCAGTAACCAAAGCCAATTTATGATAGTGTATACAAACAGTTAAGTGTGTGCTTATTAAGTGAGAATTAAAAAAATATAATTCTAATAAAATATAAGAAATATTATAATACACACAAATAACCATCCTTATATCCCTTCATTAACCTCGAGCCGTAGCCCTCACTCAGTGCTAAATTACCCGGCCAAAGGTAGATTAGCCCAAGCCCTTACAAGCCACCTATTGAGCTTCAATAGGGGCGTACCATGTGGCATATAAATACAACAATAATAGCAAGTCTCCCAACACCTCTCACAATAATCAAACAAATTCATAATAATATTACACAATTATACAATATTACAAAAATTCATAATTTTTTCAATAATCACCCAATTAACATGAAGTAATACTAATCACAAATTAAAAGCATGGTTACCTTGTGGCTTTTTCAATAAATTATTCCTTACAATTTCTCTCCCACCACAATCTTCACCAATAACACAATCTACAAATAACATATTATTTATAAATATTAGTTTCAATTATTGAAACTAATAAAATAATTCTAATAATAGAATTAAAAAAATATAACATAATTCATAATCTCAATCTTAATACGAATTTAGAGTTAATACTATTAAGTAAAATTTTTAACTCCTCTTTTACTCATCAATAAACATTAATAATCTAAAAATTAAATTTTAAACTAATTTCTATTATCAAAATTTTCTTTTTATTTTATAAATTCGCACCTAAAATATCCAAAAATTAAAAATTGAGTCTCTAGCTTAGAATCATAATCCTATAGCCATAATAATTCATTTCTCATCCCAAATAATCATCTAAACCTCAATAAATTAACATATATTTTTAGATCTAGTTTAGAATTTGATCCATAAGCCACAAATTCAAAGATCATCAATAAATTTATGCTCTAGAATATTTATTATACTACTAACAACCTCAAAAATTATATTTATTCAACATAAATTCATCCCTCTTCCAAATTTTAAATTTTCTACCACCACAAACTCAGAAACCAAAGAGGAAGGATGATTAAAAAAATTTTTTAGAACACTTACTTAGTCTTGAAAAGCTTAAAATCACACCTTAAATATCCTATTTAAAACTCTTATCTTAAAAATTCAGATCTTCCGCATCGGCGACTCATGCTCACAGACGCTCTCTCTCTGCCTCAGCTCGCGCATAGGGAAGGATAAAGAAATGAAGAAAACAGTTGAGTTTTTATAAAAATTCAGTGGGTCCCATATTTTTTTATTATTTCTTCTTTCCTCTCTCTTCTTTCTTTTTTTTATTATTTTATATGTAATCATTACATCGCCGAAAACAAACTCGTTCTTCTTCTTTTTCTTCCTTTTTTTAAATACCTTTTCTTTTTTTATTAAAATAATAATTTAATAATTTTTATTATTATTATTTTATTATTTTTTAATTAATTTTTTTAAATTTTTTCTTAATTTTAATTTAGAATTATATCCTAAGTTAAATTTAATAATCATCTCCTACTAATTTACTTACCTCTAAATATTTTTTTTAATTTCTATTAACCTAAATTAACTATTAAAATTTAAATTGAGATGTCACAGACATGTGATAAGGAACTTGCAAGGAGAATGGATCTGAGGTTTTTATAAAAAAACTTGAATTCATGAATGTGGTTACGGCTGAACAACATGCAATTAAAACTAGTTCGGAAGTCTGTCAATCTCTTGGATTTACTATAGTGAAATTGTTTTCAAAATCCCTCGAAGCCATTGATATTTTAATGAGGGATGGGGGTGATGGACACAAATATAGGAATATTTTGGAGGAGACTAAAAATATGATTTTTGATGACTAGGAAGTGAGTCTAAATCACACCTATGGAGAAGCTTTGAAAGTTGCAGATTGCCTAGCGAGGAGTGCAGATGAAGGGGAGATGATGATGTGGTTGATTTCGGTCATTCCTGATAAATGCAGAATTTTAATCCGGGAAGATACAAATGCTATCAGTTAATTGGTAGTTTTCTTTTGTGATTGTATTATAGGACTTGACTTTAATGTCATTCTCTCAAGGCTTCAAGCTTGCCACTTTTTTTATAAAAAAAAAAGTACATATTCTCAATTATCTTTCTAATTTGAAACTGTGAGTCTCTGTTTTGCTTCTTGTAAATGACGATTCCTTGTTTTTATGTATTGAAGTTTTCATTTGCATCTTTGTGAGGGGCCTAGCTTTGTCCTTAATTCTAACGTAGATTATACTTCAATCTCACCTTATATTAGTGGAAATAATAATCTAGGGATGTGGAAACTCTGCTAATTTCTTCTTGTCTTCTCTAGATGATTGTTGTTGTTATTAGTTCATCTGATTTCGAAAATCTGGGTTTGTGCTTGAAGATGTTGAAGGTTTGTGTTTGAGGTCTTGGTTTAAACAAGTGAAAGCCTAAAAGGTGGGACTCACTTAAAAAATCTAGGAAATTTTATTGAGAGAAGAAATGACGTGAATGCCACATAGCCATGCCATGTTAACATTAATAGGTCAAACGAGTCAACCAACAATTTATTTGGTCAAACCATCACGTCACGATGACATTGCACCAATTTAAAAAATGATGGGATAATGTTGAACTGAAAAAAAAAATGAGAACACCAAATGCATTTACGTGAAAATTTTGACAGTAAATTTGTATCTTAATTTTTTTTATTCATTGTTAATAATTGTTTTTAAATAGGTACCGTTATAAAATTATGTTATTTTGTGTTTCTTTTAAACGTTAAAAATATTAAAGTTAAAAATGTAAGGATAAACCTTCTCTTACCTTCTAATATTATAGAAGCATTGTATTTCTAGTAATAATTATAGATTTACCTAATGAATGTGATGATATATTGTTAGTTTATTATTTTAATTTCAAAATGTGGTTATTCATGAACATTAACTTATTTAGATCTAAATATCAAGTTATGAAATTTATCAAAAAGAATCTTTAATTTTTTATACAATAATTTACTATATAAAATAAGCATATTAATTTTGTTACTACTCATTGGATTATAGCTTTTGAGCCAATATTTTTTTAGGCCTATATAACCCTTCTTAACTTTAAGCGATTACCTTGGTCTTCCTCTCCATCACGATGCTCAGACGCAAATTTTCTAACTATGATGATTATAAGAGACAGGTAGAAGAAACTGCATGCTCTTGCATCCCTTGTAAGTAAATCACCACCAAAAGTAGTATATTGATTTCCACTTTTATCCTTTTCCACTCTTTTGGCTGTTCTGGAAAGTGAAAGATTGCTTCTTCGTAAACCCTCCTCATGTTTTGCTCTCTTGCGTCAGGCAAATTGGAGGACTCTCACTTGATTGCACTTCTATTGCTGGGGTTATTTGGTAAAGGGCAGGGAGGTAAGAATGACGCTTTTGGCCCTTCACTAATCTAATGTGCAGAAACTTATACATGATATAAGTATTGTGTATCCCATGTAAGATACCATCTGTTATTGATAATCTGACATGACAAGTACCGTAAATGAGACAACCCAGATAACAACAGTAAAGGGCTTTTAGCATAAAAATACAAGTTCAAGGAGAATGACCATCATGTTTAAAACATATGCTAGTTATCTATAATTAGCTTAAAATTAAGGGGCATTATGGATATTTTATCTATATTTTCATCCATTGGTTTGATGACCTATCTGTTAAGATGGGAGAGACCATTTGGGAATAGGGGGAGAGAAAGAAAGGGATAAAATTAATATAAAGACGTCACATTTTCACTTAAAATCTCAAAGCTTGAGTTTGTAAGTTTTCCCCCTAAGTGTATTGCGAGGAATGAGGGGCGACTGTCTAAAAATGAGGAAAGGAAGGGCAAAATTAATAGAAGAATATGACATCTGAACTCAAAATTTTAAAACTTGAGTTTATAACTCCTATCTCTTTATCATATAAGTTAAAATGTACAAATTTATTATAAATTTTGAAGCAATTGTATGTAACTCCCTTACCTTTAAATGTTTAAAATTAATTCCTCTAATATTTAATTTTATTTTTCAAAACCCCTACTATTAATTACTCTGTTATGTTATTAACAGAGTTTGTCATATCAAATTAATAAAAACCACGTAAAAGCTTACGTGTTATTTTATGTAAGCAAATAATGAATGTATAAAAATTATATTATTTTTTAAACATTTACTTTTGTATTAGTTTTATCTATATCTTTTTGTTATTAATGGTGTATAGTTTTCTTGAATTAAAAGATAAATTTTTATTTATATAATTCTTATAAATGACAACTTTTAGATTTTTTTTATTTGTTTAATATAAAAGACCTTTTTAATTGATAAAGAATAATAAAATTATAATTTTTCTCTTAAATTGTGTTAACAATGAAAAATGAAAACAAAGTCTCTCAACTGAAAAAAATGATAGAATCGTCAGAAGTAAAATTTATAATTTTGTATCTCTTTAAATTGTGTTAAAAAATAATAAAAATATTTCTTTCATATCATGTACTATGTGTATTTTATTAATTTGACATGGAAAACTCTATTAATAACATGATAGAGTTAATTAACCATAGGGCTTCAAAAAATAAAATTAAAAGTTAGGAGAGTTAATTTTAAAACCTTTAAAGGTGAGATAGATTATATGTAACTATTTTAAAATTTAGAGAGTTTTATGCATTTTAGTTTATTATATATTAGTTAGAGTAAATAAGCAAATTATCCCTTAAATTATATATCTAAAAACGTTTGACTCACCTTTTTGTGCAATAACCCTCTTGAATTTTTTAAAATAATGCAATCTAACCTCTATCATTAACAGAAATTAACTTTGATCGTTAATTGATTAAAAAAAATCTTAAAAATTATGAAAAAAATGATTCAAAAATTATAGTAAAAGACCTAAAAAATTAGAGAAAATGATCAAGAAACTCAAAAAATTACAGTAAGGGACCTCAAAAATAATAAAAAAAAAAGATCAAGAAAATTTTCTCAATCCTTTTTTGTTATCTTTGAAATTTTTTATTTTACCATTTTTTAATAAATTAACAGTCAAAGTTAACTTTTGTTAACTGTAAAAGTTAAATTTGCATTGTTTTTAAAAAATGACTCAAAAATTATAGTAAAAGACCTAAAAAATTAGAGAAAACGATCAAGAAACTCAAAAATTATAGTAAGGGACCTCAAAAATAATATAAAAAAAGATCGAGAAAATTTTCTCAATCTTTTTTTTGTTATCTTTGAAGTTTTTATTTTATCATTTTTTAATAAATTAACGGTCAAAATTAACTCTTATTAACTATAGAAGTTAAATTTTCATTGTTTTTAAAAATTGAAGAGGAATATTGTATAAGAAAAGTTTAAAATTTCAAACACTTTCTAGACTTATATAATTTATCATATTAATTATTAACTTTAACTTTATCCATTATAAGACTTTTTTTTTTTTATCTTAACTCAAATAACTTAACACTATCCATTACTAAAACTTAAAAGCATTGCTTTTAGTAGGAGCAAACAACCCATTTCGGGCAGAGGCAGTTGTTTCTTGCTGTCTAAAATATAGAAACATCGAAACAAGAGGAAACCCGAGGTTAATTCTACGATTGTATTTGGATACCAAAGCATCTGTACAGAATACTGTCCAATTCTTCTTTTACTCTCTGTTTTTCATTTTAATTCTTTCGGTGCCAACACCATTTGCGTTTTCACCAAGCATAATAAATACAATTCAGACAGTGACAGCACCAGCTTTACATTCCTTTATAAAGATCTTTTTTTTTTTTTTTTGGGTACCCCCTCGCAGGACTAAAGCCGACTGCGGCATGCTGGCATCTCCAAAGACAGATCCTCGGTAAAATTGAGAACTTCACAGCACTGGAGAACGGCTCGTGAATCCGAGGAACACTTTGAAGGCGACTCACGACCATGTGCCAAGGCAGATCACGATAACCAAAATGCTAAGCAAAAATGAAAATTTGACTATAAAATCTCTGACCACAAGAAGAGCATCCTAGTATTAGCTCAGGCCATATCCAGATTATCATTGAGATACAGGCCACGGACCACTTATGAAGCCATGCATTAGGGTGCTGGGCTTGGGATTTATGGATGAGTTAAGCCTGGTATGATCTCTTAACAGCTGCTGTGAAACGCAATCAGCCAAGCATGACTTATCACCGCTATAAAACTCTCTTGGGTCTTGCTGAACAGGCCTCCAGATCTGGTTTGCCAAAGCACCAGTATCGAATGACATTGTATGCTGGGAGGCGTGAGTAGTTTGTGGAATCCCCCAAGACGGGTCATGCTTTGCGTCGTACTTATAACTGATTTGAGACCTCTGGATCTTATCAACACCTTCATGTGCAAAAGTTGGCTGCTTTGCTTGGTGGAATGGGATCGCACCACTACCGCCTGTCACTGGGGTGGATGAACCAGATGCAGTATGAGGACTTGATATTGGGGAGGGAGATGTCCTTCCGCTGGCGTGCAACAATCTCGATGGCAAATGTGGGCTTCCAATGGGAGAAACAGGGCATGATATGTTCCTTGATCCATGGGTATTACTGAGAATGAGAACAAGGGATAGAGAGGACAAATGATTAGAGCAAAAATTACCTTTTAGACATCAGACAATAGTTCTCATATCCGTGTGTATAATCAGCGGCAAATTTAACCACAAGGATCATAACAACAGTTTCTTAATTGTTGCTTTTCCAAAATGATTAGAGCAGAAATATCCTTGCTGATTTTCCGATATGCTAAATCTATGCAGGTTCAATCTGATTTTTATATTAAGATTTATTTTATAGAAGGAGAACATGTGGATAATTTAGCAACCAAGAAAACTAGTACTATGACTTAAATATGAAATGGATACAGCAATCACCAGAAAGAAGCAAGCACTAGAAATATATACGTGCACTTATCTATACTCGCGTTTTCTCTACATGTGCAACTGATCTTTCTTGTGCTCAAGCATTTCCATACATGGGTGCATGCGTATGCGTGAGAGAGAGAGAGAGAGAGAGAGAGAGAGAGAGGAAACCTCAAATTTGAACCAAGTTTCAAGCTTCTAGATGGATAGATACCAGCCCCTTCTGAGTCTATGCATGACTCTTGTTTTGCAGTTCCAATGGCCTGAGAGAATTATCCAAACAGAATAATATAGGTAACGCAATCAGCAAAAGTAAATGAGAAGATATGAAAGATGTATCCATATATTTTAATCAGTTAAACTAAGAGAGAAATCAACTTCAACAGCAAATCTGGGGAAAAGGAGAGGGGGCGGATACATCATTTTATGTTATCGTGTTCATCATCATGATTCAAAAAGACATAAAAATGGCTTCATGTATACTCCCAACTACTCACCCAACTGACTGCCACATAAAAAGACATGAATCGGTGGCCATGACTCAGGTTTTAGAATCAAAGCACAGAGGACTGATTTATTTCATGAATCATCTACTCAGAACCCCATGCTTTCTGAAACAATGTGAGGCTTTCTGGTACTAATAACCTTTCAGTAAATATTTTAGTTTGGAGCATGTATCATGCAATTTAAAAGAAAATTATACTATTGGAACCTGGACCACTTTTTAACATAGATATAGATATACACCGCAGCAAAAAGAAAAGTAATTGGAGATAAAATATGAAATCATGTACTGCATATGTGCATCGTCCATATACGCGTACAAATATGTCATATAACAGAAACTTCACAGGAATAATATCTTGAACAACTAAATTGTTTTTACCAGAGATCTCACTGCATTTGTAAAAGCAGATAGCTCTGAATGATCAGCAGCCGGACTGGGTCTCTCCATCGTAGAATTTTTAATAAATGGATGCTCCAGAAGTTGAGCAGCTGACGGTCGATTTAGTGGGTTCCTCTGCAAACAGAGCCTGACAAATTCTTTTCCATCTTCTGATAAATGATTTGGAATTGTAGGAAGTTCCTTGCTGTTCCCAATCTTAAACATGGCAGCAATCTTTGAAGTACATAATGTCCGACAGAATATGCAAATAATCAGATATTTCCAAGACATGCCAATGCTCGGATGGAGATTTGTTAGCACCAGATAATAGATATCAAATGCACATACGACAAAATTAACAACAGTTTAAGCCGGTCTTCACAAATCACTAACCCCTTCATACTGGCTCCAAGGTGGCTTTGTAGTAGCCATCTCCAAAACAGTGCAGCCAAGGCTCCATATATCAACAGCGAGATTACAGCCATTTGAATTTTTTATAACCTAGATTTACACAAGCTCCCACATGAAAATATTAACTAAAAAACATAAGTAACAGAAGGCTCCAATTTGACCAAAAAGTCATGCTGACCTCAGGTGCCATCCAGTAAGGACTTCCTTTGAAAGATAATGGACAAGATTGCCCATTCATCTGCAAATCATTCCAGGGAAGCAACATTAGAAACCACAGCCCCATCGTTGAGGTGTAGATAGTATATTTAATTCAATTTAGAACATCCAATACCCGGAAGGCACTTCCTTCATTGACGACAATAAAAAATTAGAGTATACATGAAAATAGCTTAAAAAGGCTCTCACATGTTTTGCCATTCCAAAATCTGCCAATTTTACCCGTCCATTGGGATCCACCAATATATTTGCTCCTTTTATGTCCCTAAATGACATCCAATAATTTTACCAGGTTGAATTGAATTCCCAAAATATTGAAACCTAAATATGAGAAAAGAAACAGAAGTCATATGGCATTCATAGGATCATACATCATGCTCACCTATGGACCGTGTTCTTAGCATGTAAATATGCAAGACCTGACAGAATTTGCCGAGTAAAATTACGAATAGCATTTTCACCAAACTTGCCATATTCTTGAAGAAGTTTATAGATAGACCCACCAGAGACATACTCCAAGTATATATAAAGTTTGTCGTCTACCTGTAGGAAATAAAAAAGATTAGTATTTAAAAGAATATATCATAGCAATTGCCCATCTGAGCAATAAGGTTTCATCTCTTGGTGAGATTATTGTGAAGAACTTTATATAATTCAAGCAGTCAAAGATTCTAAAACAGAAGCAATAATGATCACTAAAGTGGTTTATGAATAAAACAACAGCAGTTTCAAAATTTCATGTGATAGTATTAATATTTAAAAGGAAAAATATTCAAAAAGTCAAATCCATTACCAGAATATAGGCAAAAGTTTCATAAACGTACCGTCTCAGATCCATAATATTGAACTATATTTGGATGCCACAAGCAACTTAGCAGTGTAATTTCCTGCAAGAGGCATCTGGCAAGTGTGACTATACATCAATAACAAATATGAAGGATCTATATATGTGTGAATATATCATAGCAATATGATGAACTACATTTGGGTGCTGCAAGTAACTCAGTAGCGTATATTCTGGCCAACTGTATCCACTAAGTGCAGATATGCATCATCCACACTCTATCCAGCGTTAAATGCTTCATTAATTTTTGTCATTTTCACAAATTCTAATAAGAAAACTTTTTCACTGCAGAGTATGACACAAATTCCAAGAAACATATAATTTCACTGGTCACGTGAAGTATTTTATTTCCAAAATCCTCCATTATCTTTTTCTTGTTTGAAAAGTGAAAACTTTAGTCACACCAACTACTCTAACACTTTAAGATATACCATATGCAAATCCCAAGAAGGAAAATGATACCATATTTTTTTAAATGCAGGCTAAATGAAGATATTGAAATAGCCCTTACCTAACGTATTGCTATTATTGATTGAGCTACCCTACAGCTGAAATGTCATTACAGAGTACAACTATTACATGCACTATAAAGTGCCATCTGATAGGAAAAATCCCCAAAAAAAGAAAATTGAAAAGGCTGAGGGCAACAAGTTACACAGCCTTGTAGCCCAGCGGACCCTATTCTTTTCTATATAGCTATTTACACTCTGTCTCTGCAGATACCATCTTTGGAAACCATGCAATCACCAGCAGCCACTTTCAAGCACCGCACCCTCTTCTCTGTTTTTTCACTTCTGGGCCTTTCTGTTTTTGATTTCAAATTTCTCATCACTGAAATCACTCAACACTGTATGAAGTGTTGGGAGGAATCATGTGGTAGAGAGACTGAAAACATGAATTAAGTACTTAATGTCATGCTTTATGAATGATTGTTAAGTTGTCATGAATACGTGATAAATTATTTACATATAATAGTTGATTTAATTATAGTGTCGTCTTCATGAAATAAATTAATTAAATATATTTTATATTAGATAATCTTAGCATATTGTGAGTTACAATTCAGTGGAGCATACAACAAGCCAGGCACTATTACATGTTGGGAGACCTTGTCATTACATGTGTGCTGCATTTAATTAATAACTATGAGTGAAGCACGTTAAACAGAAGGCAGAAAGGGATTTTCGCCAATCTACAAAAGCAAGCTTACTTGACATAGTTGCTGTGCGCATTCCCTTGATTTTGCGTCATCTGAAAGGAGTATTACCTCCTTCATTGCACACATCTCACCACTTTCACTACAAATCAAAAGTTGATTCAATCAAATCAGACTTACAAGTTGAAATAACTTAATCCAGGAAATATAGATAGCTCATATCAAATACGACACAAACAACTACAAATACGAACTGAGTCAAGCCCAGGGTTTAGACCAAGAGTTAGAAAGAAGGTCAAAGACATATACAAGTTCAAAAGCAACTTGTTTGAAATTCCACAAATTATGCATACAGAAATTTTAATACCAATAAATAGAATTAAGTAATAGATCAAACAGTTAAATACAAATAAAAATGTGCCAATGCCCAATCATGCAACTTGCTACAGACCTGTTAAAGCCAAGATATACATGGCCAAATGTTCCCCTTCCAAGCAGCTGCCCCTTTTTCCAGCGTGAACCAGGGCTCGTTAGATTTTCAGCTCTGCTAGGACTACGTGGCGCAGAAGGAGTTGTGGCTGCAGAATAGGCTGGAGAAAAAGGGCAAGAATTATTGATTGCTATTGGAGGAAGAGGTAACCGATGACTTTGTTGTTTCCCATCGTCAGGATGTATTTTAGGTGACTCCGATGCAGTGCTTCTTGCTCGTGGATGCAGAGGGGTGACAGTACCACTGTGTATCCTTGAGCTGGGACCAGGGCTTGTCATTCTGGGACTAGGTATTGGAGAGAACTCAGCGCTGCCCCTGCTCTGTGGACCACATATCTGTCCCAACAGATCAACAACAGAGTTATGCCCAGAATTATGACCTGAGCCGGAACTTGAACAGTGTCCAGAAGTAACATTGGAATAAGGCTTTCCTGTCCAGAATACAGCATTTAAATCTTGCTCAGGACCAAGTGCTCTCATTGGACTTCTACAAGGACTTGACAATGAACTATCAGGAGCACTGCATAAACCAGCTGGGTGAACCATTTGCAGATTCTTCAGATGCAAAGCCCCCCCTTTAGGTGAGGTAGACAAAGACTGATTATTGCACAGTTGGGAAACTGGTTCTGATAAGGCTCTTGTGTTCTTTGGGAGAGTCACAGATGATTGATCCTCGTGCACCATGCTTCAGGTGGATAATAGATTTTGTTAGAGGAGAAAAAGAAAAATTGAAGCAAACATATAAGAGAGAGAACAGCAGAAAAGAAGAATGGCATGTTTACATAGATCCAAACCTACCAGAAGGAACTGTTAACAGTGATTCTTCTTAAATTTGCACAGGCAAATGCCAGAGAACTAAGGTGACGTGAATTGGATGGGCAGTCACTGTCATTAGAGGTGTCACTGGAAATGGATGCAGTGGCAATATCTTCCTCAGCGTTAGTAGGTTCTCTCTGGTTAGAAGCACATCCAGGTTTCGGTAGGGAAAAATGCTGAGATGGCTTAGAATCTCTAGCATTTTCTGATTTTGATGCTACACTAATTGCAGAGTTTGTACGACAGATGGTAGAAGGTTTCGGCCCAGGTAATGGGAGTGCTTGGGCATGAGGCCTTTCTGCAAAACTTTGACATCGGGATACATGTGTCGAGGGAGATGCTGATCCTGAAAACACAGGAGATTGAGATCTCTTATTTGAGACAGTATGTCTCCTAGATCCTCCCAATCCACTGTTGCACTTGTCTTCCGAAGTGCTTTTTAACTTGCGCTGTATTGTATAAATAATACTTTCCTTATTTTCTTTCTTCTTCCCCTCTTTGGAGGAAGACTTTCCCCACCATGATGGCATGTCTATGAGAAAATCTTGCCAAAAACACAAAGTGAGAGGGAGGGAGGATAAGAGAAAATAAAACGTACAGGAAATTTGAGCAAATTCTGTTTTCTGAGTGTAAGTTCACATTTGGCATTAACCAACTACCACATGGACAACAAAGGGCCAGAACTATTTTAAAAAAATTTCTAATGCAGAGAATCCACTCAACAGCATCATCTAATTTTCCATTATACAGCGTCAACTGACTCTACAGTATAGACCAGAATAGAGCTGTGGAAGTGTCACCATAAGAACCTGGACAAAAAGTTTCAATGTTAGTCCTTTGTTATATGATTGTAATTCTGATATAGAGAGAAATAGGGAGAAATAGAGAGAAGAACAGAGAAGAGAGAGAGTTGCGGAGAGAGATTGAGAGAGAAGAGAATGAGAGACACAAAAGATTCTGAATAATACGATCAATCCATCCATTTGAATAATAAAGGCATAAGGATTAAGGTATCTCTAGTATATATAGGCTTCTAATCCTCATAACTACCCAAGAGCTATTTCCCTTAACTAACTATAACTAACATTTCAATACTACAATTATATATATCATCCTTTCTTTTTTTAACTTATAATTGCAAATAGCCAATGCTAAAGTGAAATCTAAACACCTGTAAACCAAGACTCAACTTGTCCTGCCAGTTGTAGAAAACAAACTGAAGTTGCATTTCCGTGAGTTCTTCATTACTTCAATTTTGAACATTAAACAAGGAAGCTAGTGTACTGGAAAAGAAACGGTCCCTTTACACCAATAAGAAGCTACCATGTGGTTTTTAACAAATAGGAGATATAATCACGTAGGTTGACTTAAAAGTGGTATGGATTCCAAAATGGAAGAAGCACACACGCCAGCACTGAAAAATTCAGAAGGTACATCACATAAATTGGTATTTGACTAAATTTGAGGATTTTATTGGAGCCATTAGATAATATGCCACCTCATATGACAACAAAAATAGCAACCTATCAATCATCTTCAGTGTTCCCTAGTATCATCATCAGGTGCAAATCTTCTGACCGTCACTAAGTACCGCATAGCCATCCCATTCACATCTAGAGCAGGGAAATGAGGCACCAGATGAACTGTGATGCGATGTCCCATTGCCAGTAGAACTCCAGTGTCTAATTAGTGACTATACAAATATACTTCTTTCGTTCGTTTTCCTTATTTGTTATTGACAATATTGTGGGTGGGGTAGGGGGGTGTGGTGGATGGTGGATGGAAATAAAAGGATGCAATACGCAAGTAGTGTAATCTGGCTGTATTAAAAATTTAATCAAAAGATTTCCACTCGAAAAAAAATTAATCAAAAGAAGCTTGAAAACACCCAAATTTGCAGGCGACCGAGCTCAGATCTCCACGTGAAACCAATTGTGACTCTGAATAGATAACATAATCAATAAAACTTAAGAAGAAATCAACTTTAAAACGCGAACATAAAATACCACCGACAAATATAATGCTCCTTCAATTCCAACCGAAAATGCTCATACACAAATTGTGGTTCATGTCTTAACTACGATCGAACTGAGAGGCACGCAAGGAAGCACATTCCATAGAATCACTTACCCGAGCTTGACAAGTTCAGAGACCGACGACAGCATGCTACCATCAGAACAGTAATGTGTGGGATAGTAATGCGTTTGATAAATTGACAGTGTTAAGTTCACTGCAAATACCGAAGAAGAAAAGCAGGAAACTGCAACCCCACACTTACTTGCTGAGGTATATTTTGAGCTCCAAAACGTCCGCGTTTGCTAAAGATGCGGAATTTCGAAGTGTGTCCATTCCCCGGAGACACGGCGACGAGGAGCCGAAAAGTCGGAAAAAGAATGGGACCGAAAACTACAGTGAGTTTTTCTTTTCTTTTCTTTTCTTTTTTTTGGGGGGGGGGGGGGTGGGGTGTGGGGGAGAAAAATTGGATTTGGATCAGTGAGTGTGTCTTCTGTCTTGGTTGGGCAGGAAAGAAAAAAGAGTTGGCCTGGGAAGAGAGAACCAAAAAAACCAAGAGAAAACCCAAAAGAGTGAAAGATAGAGTCATGGCCAGATTTTTACCAAAAACATACTAATTGAATATTAATAAATCGTCATAATGAAGATCGTGCCATTGAATAATAGTAGATGAAGCCATTAGGTGTGGCTGGAAAAATACATGGGATTACGGTGGATCCTCCAAAAAGAAACCTCTCTAGTATTTTATTTTTTTTAAAGGAAGAGAGTTTGCGTTGATTCTTTTTATGAGACTTACCCTAAATTGTTCATTCTGTTAGTTGTTTCTTTCGCAAAAATATCCTCATTTGCTCCACATTTAATTAATCCTGCGGAAAGAGATTTCGAGAATAAGATCCAATAATTTGAAAAATAAATTAAAAAAACGTGCAAATTATTCAACAAAAATTAATGCTACCGTTGACTGAAGTAATAAAATTTCTTAATTCCCATGAAATGGCTATAACTTAAAAGAATTCTATGCAATGCACTACAAGTAGCATTATATCGTATTAATTTAGACTTAAATTTTGTAATGACGATTTGCTATGTTCATTTTGTATAACAAGAAAATGAGCATAGGCCCAGATCTAAAGCAGATACTAATAAGCAAGCAATCCAACACACCTCTCTCCCACTCCCTCTCTTTGTTATGCACTGATATCATTTTATTAGCCACCAATAGTGATTGAGTTTAATAAAAAGGACTACTCATCATAATATGATAAATTCAAATTCAAATTTTCATTAAATAAAGTGCATATATTTAACCTAGGCCAAGGCTTCGAACATAACCATCTCCAATAAGAAGATATTTGTAAGAAACCAAAAAGAATATCATTTTACTAGTATTATTATTGGTTATTAGATGTAAATGATTTTTTCAATATAACTCTAAATATAAATCCATCATATTGCAAGGTACTCTTTCCATTCTAAATTATAGGACACTTTTAAAAAAAAATTTTCATCTCAAAATATAAGACACTTTAAGTAGATCGAAGTTTCATTAAATATACTATTTTTAATATTATCCTTTCTCTTTTTATAATTAATTTCCATCATTTTTTGTAATATATTAAATGATGAGTATTTTAAAAAGTTTATATTTTTGTTTTGAATAGATAAAATTATTAAATATATTTAATAATATTTATAAATATGTAAAATTTTATTTACAAATATTTTATAACTTGAGACCGGAGGAGTATTAGCTTTTTTGGCTGAAGGTAAACAGCACTGGAAATTTTTTTTGTGGACAGTCTAAAGTACGTCTTGATGATGCATTAAGTAAGCCTATCCTCGTTTGGTTTTCTGGAGATGAATGCCCCAGGCCCAAAAAAGTGTGAGAAAAGGCAAATAAGAGCCATCTGAGGAGAAAGTCTTGTAATGCGTGTGTTTTGTATTTTCCAAGCTGCGTAATGCAACTGGGTTTTAATCAAAATTGACGTTCAATAAAAAACAATGACGAACTTTACGCAAACTTGACAAAGAAGAAGAATAAATGAAAACAACTAATAATACAACTAGTCAATAACAATGAAACACAGTACTTGGCAATGAGTTATAAGTTGCAGTCTTGTTTGTTGTCTCAGTCCTAACAGATCCAATCACTTAGCCAATGATGACATCAGTTATCAAAAAAAAAAAACACCACAAAAAGATCCAATCACCTGTCACGTCGAAATTTCCTCCTCCTCCTCCTCCTTTTTTAACATCTGACAAACAATCAAGCACAAGCCAATTAATCTCCCTCGTGTGTGTATCCATATATATAGTACAGTGAAGAAAAATGACTTGCCCCACCCTACAAGCTGTTAAACTGAGTAATTGACATTTCCTTTGTTGGGTCAAATGGGCTTCCGTGTGGGAAATAAGAAGCATTCGTGGGCATTGAAAGGCCCAACAACATTTAAGGACACCAAGGGCCCACCATATAAGAGAGGGAACAAACTTGTAATCTACGGATGGACGGAAACACGGTCAAAACAATATGCCTGGTAGACATTGATGTATCTGCTAACATCAATGCAGCTACGGCATGCAGAGGTTTAATTCGTGATGTTCATGGTAATTAAATTAAGAAAATTTATTAAATATCTTGATTATCATTCAAACACGGCTGCTGAATTACTAGGCATCTTAAAAGACATTAAGCTTTGTTGGAATATCAAATTATTCAAGGTTAACATCTATTCAGATTCTCTCGAAGTTTTATCCTTGATTCAACACAATTTTTTTAAAAATTATCTTTATTTCAATTATATCAACAAGATCAAGGAATTCACTATGAAAAACCAAGCAATTATTTTTGATCATGCATCAAAAAAAGCTAACAGATATGTTGATTTCCTTGCTCACCAAGCTTCCAATAATAATTTTCAGCTAATAATTTTTCATGAACCACCTTCTAAGTGTAGTGATGTTATGTATTTTGATATGAAAGGATAATTTTTTCTCACACGAGTTTCCGTGATTATGTATTTAAAAATAAAAACAATATGCTTGGTAGAAGTGACTATGATCATTTATACATGAGGTTTCAATTTCTGATTCAAGGTCATCCGAATATAGAATATGCTTTTGAAAAAATTAAAATTAAACCTGACAATTAAGGATGAAAATAAGTTAAGCAGAGTGATAATTTAGATAAATAAATAGGTGAGGCTATCAGGCTTGTAAAATAAGCAATGTTAAAATATATTTAATTTATTTATTTAAATAGGTTTAATTAAAGATTTAAACTTGATTAGATTATTTTATGAATAAATTAGGCCAGGTTGTAAGCCCGTGATAAATTAATCGGTCTATTTCACCTTACTAACAATATTTGAATCTAATATGGTCAAATAGTAATACTTAAAAAAAAAGAAGAAGAAGAAGAAGAAGAAGACACTGTCAATGGCCAAAGAAACTTGGGGACTAGATTTAAGGGGGTGACCTAATATTTCGACTATTAATTGAGGGGATGCTTTGGGCCGAGGAATTGACATCGTGCTAAAACAGCAAAAGCAACAGAATAAAGGTGTGGACGAGGGAGGCAGACGCACCCGTCAATTGGAGGGGACGAGTTCATTGGACTTGTGGATGAAAGGGTTCGCAATTGCATTACTATGACTTCACGAGATGATCGTGTCATTTTCACTTAAATCCAACTACTCGGCATTTATTACCCTGTTCAATCCCTGCCAAGAGAATATATCCATAAGTGTTGGCATAATTTTATATTTAAGTAATATTTGGATTGTTTCATTATATAGTGAATTATTATAATTAAGTCACATCAAAAAATCCTTATAGTTATGAGCATTTTGTCTTTGAAAGTTTCGAACTGAGCTACTGCAAACAATTCAAATCCTTGCTGTCTGTGTAAAGATATTGTTAATAGACGATATGTAAATACTTTTATAAATGTCTTTTAAATTTAAATGTATGTCTTGATCTAATTAAATTATTGATACTTGATTCACTTAAACTTTTTTTATAAGAAAAAAAAAAGCTCTCTCAATAACACGCAATATACATGTATTATGTATGCATAATTTCAACTGTATACATATGTAATATTTTATAATTAAGCTAGCGAATATACTCCAAGAATGCTATTTATTTAAGATATATAAATACAAATAATTGAAAATATATGATTCGGTCGAAATATTTTTTATACGGTACCTTGATGTCAAGTTTATGCAGAATAAGTTAGATACAATTTAGTAATAAATAATCCTTGGAGCCAAGTCAATTTGATTATTATATATATATATATATATATATATTTTGTGTAGCATGTGCTCTCCCATTATGGGGATGCTATAAATATATCACGCACACAAATGAAATATTTTTGAATTGTTGACAAGATTTGAAGTTTGTAGTTCACATTGATCAAATTTGATTGCTCTATGGCGTTTTCTTTTCATACGTTAACCACTTTTTAGAAGGTGATGTGTGATAAGGATGAGTACAACGATGAACCAATAAAATTGAAGGATGGTTACCATTTGCATTCAAAAATATTGTTCTGATTTCATCAATGAGATGATGATGTTTAATTACTCATTTCCACACACAAAAAAACACGTTTTTTTTTTTTCGCACCGCTTCCTGTAAGAGTAGATGTAAGTTTTAATCGGTAAAATTTAAATATGTTGAGGTAAATAGAAAAATCTATGGGAGTGCTTAAAATAATGTTTATATTAAATACTTCCTGTGCGACGTCTGTGAGTTAGTGCTAGTTTAGTAATAATTATCATATATATATATATATATATATTATAATATATAAATATAATTCATTTAATAAATAATCTCTTGAGCCCAGTTAATTTGATTACTATATTCTCTTGAATCAAATCGGACATGGGATGACTAATTTACTAATCGGTCCATTAATTCATTGGCCCCAGGAGTTGATTTCATCTGTTTCGGAAGCTAAAATTTGTGTTTTATTTTATGATTAATTCACGGCGAGCATTTGAGGCCCGGTTTTACTGTTCATCAGCTTGAGCACTATCAGCTTGAAGAGATTTGAATTGTTCAAATTGAAATCTAAATAGTCTAAATTTAAATATATTTTTATTTATTAAAATAAAATTATAAAAAATTTAATAAATTTACTTTAACACCAATTTGGATAATACATATTTATTTTTTTTATTAGACAAGACATATTTACTTTAGATAGTCTAGTTAATAAACATTAAAAGTTCTTAATTTTTTTTAATTAACTATCTAGTTATACTATGAACAATCTAGATTTAATGTTACTTTTTTAAAAAATTTTATTTTGGTAAACATAATATTAAAATTAAAAGATAATTTTCAAACTAGAACTTTTTAAAAAGTATTTTTCACA